GGGCTCGGGCGACAATTTAAAGGGCCCGGGACTCCGGCTGCTGCGGGAAGCCCCGGGGCTCCCAGCCGCCTCTGCAGCTGGTAGCTCTGGGGGCGATTTAAAGGCCCTGGGGCTCCCAGCCACAGCTGGAGCCCAGCAGCCTTTAAATCTTGATTTAAAAGGCCCCACCTCTTCTGGTTGAGGTCATGCCCCCACTCAGGACTCTGGCATACCGGTAAGTCCTTTAAGTTACTTTCACCCCTGTATATAACAAAGTGCATTAGTTGACTTACACACAGTGACTTGACAACTATGCACTAATCTCCCCAAAATCCAAAGGTCTGGGGACTGAATTTCTTCTTCTAGTATTACAAAAATATATCTCCATTGACTTCTAGGGAGTTAGAAATGACTTGTGCCAAAGTAATTGTGTGGTGCATCAGACCCTTTGTATTTAAATTTATAACCCTGCAACTTATTTTTTGGTTACACTTTTCTCTAGATCTGCTGGAGTCTTGAGGCAGCTACAAATAGTGCCAATATGTAAAATCACAACCAATAGAATAGTTTTGAAACTGAAGAAAGTAAAATCCAGGCTGGCAAAGAAAAATTTGATTTTGACTTTATGCATTATGTAATCTTTTGGCAGTTTCATGCCAGATCTGTTTTCTAACATCTTCTGTACTTGCTAGAGTATCAAGCATTTTGTGCTTCCCAGCTTCAGAAACTGAAGACACTATACCATGCTGAAAAGGAACCCCACCATAAATGCAATCTTCAGATCATCAGTAAGCAGACTAGACAAGATGACAGACCTCTAAGACAACATGAAAGAAGCCTCCACGCGAAGGTTTTAACTAAGATGAGGGAAGTGATGCCTTTCATTAGAGTGCTTAACTTGGTGGCACCAATAATTCCATCGGACGGATGAGCTCCTGTCAAGAGAGCCAGTGCTCAGACACTCTAGACAGTGGGGAAGGCAGAGTTATAGAATACGTATTTACAGTAAGTTGTGCAAAACGTTCAGACAGCCTGGCACAAGAACCACATTGATTTATAACAATGAATTCTGGGAAATGATGCTACTACTGAATAACTTCCTCCTGAGCTTACAGTGTTAAATTCAGGCACTAGTAATTTCGCAGTCACAGCCAGTGACACCATGGATAGAAAGCATTCGTCTCAAGTATATTTTGCCTCATGGCATTTTAACACCATATGCGGATTCTTGGTGATATAGCTTTAAAAGACTTTGAAAACAACGACCTAGCAAAGATTTTTCAGGGAAAAAAAGAAGCTTAATTGCAATGCATGTTAATCAGACAAGATTCAAGGAGCAGTATTTACACACACACACACACACACACACACACACAAAAGTAGTTTGGATAGCTAAAGCAGCTAAAGGAGGACTTGCAATTTCACCAAATACAAAGCAGATCTGTTGGTCTCTCTTTTACTGGTCTGGCTGCAAAGTTAGCATGTTCATGTTTCAAGTTTATTCCTTTTCCAATCAGTCATCAAGCTCTAAACAGAACATCAGGAACAGATACTAAGATAAACCAAATGCAAATGTATTTGGCTAAGATATCTTACTACAGTTATTTATCCCAATGGGAGTATCTTGTGGTACATTTCCTTTTTTGGTTTGACTATTTTGAAGACAAAAGGTGACCACACATTTGGTTGGTGAAGCAGCAAAGAACATCTTTCACTGCTATGGGCCAGGTTGCGACTTGTCCTTATATGGGTGTGCCTGGGTAGGGCACAAGGGTAATAAGGAATCTTTTCCTCTTGCGTGGGCTCTACAAGGGCTAGGCAGAACTTGTAGCCTCTGCAGTCTGAGGAGCACAGAATCTGCTAAATCTGTTTTTTCAGGGTAACACAATGTCCCAAATCACAAAGATGTATGGAGAGTGGGGGGATGGCAACACCCCCCCACCCAACTAGCCTGCAGGCCTCAGGCAGAATGCTTCCAGTGCCCACCTCCCCAGGCGGATGTGGCTTCTACCTTCCCCTTACTATGGGCTGGGCCTAAATGAGCATGACATTTATCACTGTACATACAGTACAGTACTTAAAAATGCAATTTAAGTAATTTGTAACAAACCCGTGTGACTACCAGTGTCCTGAATGTCAAGGGCACATTTTACTAAAAAAGTTGATTTAAGGCACATCCTGCTGCAGAGGCCTGTCTTGTAGGTATTTAATCGATGCAAAACCAAGTCTCTTGCTTTTATTATAGTATGAGAAGATTTACATTTCATGAGTTGCCAAGAGACATGGAAACCAATCCCTATTTGTCAGAAATACTTCCTTTTGTAAATGTTGTTTCTTTTATCTAGGACAGCACAGTTTTGAATGTAAGAAACAACTTTATGCCCAATTCTCAGTACAGAGTTTCTTATACATTGCCACAATGGACCCTGACTGGTCAATGTCTTTACAATGATTTAGGAGAGAAAATGCCTCAGACTTTCCATTTGGGTTGCAAAACCTCAGTTCTTGTGTTTAGATGAAAGAATTCCTTGTTCTAGATTCAGAGTCAATAGAAATATGGAGGATGAAATCCTGGCCCCTGCCACTGACTTCAATAGGAACAGGATTTTACCTGGAACGTTCTACACTTTCAAAGTCTCCACTACTTGCTTGTATCTTTGTAAAGTTACAATTGCCTGCTTTCAAAAAATAATTTGCCCAGCTTCCAAGCCTCTAGGAGAATGAAACAAAACACACAATCCACTGACCCACATCACAAATAAGTGAACATCCATTACTAAATTAACATACATACATTCCCTTCCATCTAAAGAGAGCTTCCTGCATGCATCCTGCTCTCAAAAATGTCATCCTGGTTCTTGAGAGCCACATCATCTCTGAGAAGCCTCTCTCTATAACTGGGTCATGGATAAAGAAACATGCACTGTAAAATAAACATTCAAGGTCTATTTATCCTGGTTCTTACAACGTACCACCATCTCTGTGACACCTGGACAATTAAGGTCCTGGTACTAATCTTTAGTGCTCTCAACACGCTTTGTCTTAGAGACAAGCCCTTCATTTATGATCCAACCAGACAACCATGCAGCAGAGCTAAAATGCTTAGTATTAGATAAATCCTTCCATCATCTAGGCTCAGGAAGTTCTTCAGCACCTTGCTCAGGATATAGCATGATAACAAACAAAGTTCTATTAGATAAGGGAAATGTTGAGCACTGGATTAGGAATCAGGTGATCTGGGTTCTATGCCTGGCTCTGCCACGTATCTACTGCGTAACTTTGAGCAATATCATTTCATCGGTCTGTGCTTTGGTTTCTCCATCTGCAACATGGTTATAAAAGTGATTTAACACAGCAAGGGCTAATTCAGAAAGGTGGACACTATCCCTGTGAGCCACACTTTCTTTGTATGACAGTCATGGCCATAGTGCACTATGGAACCATTAAGGAGTTAATTGCACTGTACATAACACACAGAAGTAGAGAACGCCATTACCTGCTACAATCTGGACTTCATTCCTTAACTTTTGCAGCCTGTGAGATGTTGCAGTGTGCTGCTGACTGAGCCAATGAACCTAGTCAAATTCTCCCCAAATTTTTCATTAGAAAACTAGGCAATCTAGTGAATAGAATTGGTTTAGTTACCATTCAAAGTAACTATTTCTGTTCTGTAGTTGGAAAGATGCAAGATGATGTACTTACATCGCAAGTATGATAAAGTACTTTCCAGACTGTTAGTAACTGAGGATATTAGACAACATCTACTAGGGATCAACATTTTTAAAATCAGCAGACTCAGATAACTTGCACCCAAGAATCATAAAGGAGTTGGCTGAGGAGATCTCTGGCCTACTGTTAATTTTTTAAATAAATCTTGGAATACTGGGGAAATTAGAGAAACTGGAAGAGTGTTCAAGTTGTGCTCCCTACACTATTACCTGGGGACTGGAGGGAGAGAGCGAACGCTGGTGGTGCCTGAGCCAGGACTATGCAGCTTCCTTTGCCACTGATGCTGCCTGGGTGTGGGATAAGCAACATGCCAAGTGAGTCTGGGTGCTAATTGAGTGGACTATGCCCTTTGTCTCTAAAGGGATTGGCACTAGGCTTGATGCTATTCAACAATTTCATCAATGATCTGGAAGTAAATCTAAAACCATTGCTGATAGACTTTGTAGAGGACAAAGATTGGTGGGAGTGGTAAATAATCGAGGAAGAGACAGCAGCCATACAGAAAGATCTACATCACTTAGTAAGCTGAGTCCTTCAAACAAAATGCAATACAGGCACATGCAAAGTTATACATCTAGGAACAAGGATTGCAAGTCATACCTATAGCATAGCAGGGGCTATATTGTGGAAAACTAACTGAGAAAAGGATTTAGGGATCACAGCAGACAAGCACCTCAGCATGAGCTCCAACTATGATGCTAAGCATTATGGACTAAGCAGATCCTTGGAGGTATAAGCAGGGGAATAGCAAGTAGTGAATAGGAAAGTGTTTTTGCCAACATATATGGCATTGATGAGATTGATACTGGAATGCTGCATCCAGTTCTGGTACCCACACTTTAAAAAGGATGTCAAAAATTGGAGAAAGTGCAGTTTAGTTCATCAAAAAGATTGAGAGGGGACTTGATTAAGGGGTACAAGTACCTTCATGGGGATAAAATACTGGATCCTGAAAGGCTCTTTAATCTAGCTGAGACAGGCATAATAAGAACTGGAAGCTGAAGCCAGATAAATTCAAATTAGAAAATCAGGCATAATTTTTCTACAGAGAAGGAGATTAAGCACTGGAACAAATCACCAAGAGAAGTGATTGATTGGGAGACTCCAAGAGATGGAGAATCAAAACCGGATGCCTTTCTGGAAGATATGCTTTGGTCAAATCACAAGTTATTGGGCTGGGGTAACAGGATGAAATGTAATGGCCTGTGAGGTGGTAATACTAAATGATCCAGTGTTGTCTTCCAGCTTTAAAATCTAGGAAAACAATTCAAAAACCACACACTAAAATGAGGTATAGTTGTTACAAAAAAGAAAGAGCAATTTGTATTTAAATACTTTATTTTCATCTCACAAAAGCAACAGTGTTTGCTGTATACATGCCTTTTCATCAGTGCCAGTTATATGCAAACAAGTTTATCTGAAATATAAAGAAAATAAGCTTTCCCCCCTTTACAAGTAAAATAAAACAGATCTGCATGTGTATGCATTATACATATATACACATACACACGATTTCCAACCTCCCCCAAAGGCAAGTATTGTACAACCTAGAATTTCACCACCCAAAGCTCACACATGTGATTGTACATTGTACTTATATTTTAAGTATTTTAGAAATACACAAGTGTTCTCCCTTTACAAGTCCTTACAGTACTTAACTTTTCCAAAATAATTTGAAAGGTGGTATTCTTCAGGGCTATTTAACTTTATAAAGACTGGAATATAGGGCTCTTGTCTGACTGCAAGTTTAGCAGTAGTTTGATGCAATTTGCTCTCAGAATACTCCATTTCCCTACTTTGTTGAATAGAAAATATTATTGATCTTTAATAACTCAGTCCAAACTTTCATGTATTTAAATCCATTCAAGCTCCTACCTTTTCTTAATATTTTACTGCAATTTGCTAAATGCCACTATGATCAACTCAAAAAAAGATGTCTGCCTCTCACTGATCAAAACTAAGTTATCACGAATAAAAGTCTATTTCTACTTCAGAAGCAGGTTTAAACAACAGAAAAACTAGAGGTTTAAATTCTTTAGCAATATGACCTGAGAGTTTAATGTGGTAAATTACATCCGTTTAAAACTTTCCAGGAATCATGTGAATCCATGCCTCATTAAAAAAAGTAACCAAATCTTCCAACATTTAGTAGCATCTTAATTAAAAAAAAACAATAAAATAATGTAAAAGTAAGTTTACTCAAGCATTTTCTTCTATACAGTTTAGCCAAATGAGAGAGAACAACATTTACCATGTGATGGAGTGAATTAACTACATGAAACCGGATTCAGAAATATAGAAAGTCAACATACAAGCCTCGATGCATGAAATGCATACAAAAGTGTATGGTTAATGAGGCAGCGTTGTTTTAAATTTCAGAGTGCGATGAAAAATAACATCTTCGAGAGAGGGCGGGGAAGGAGGAGGGGGAAGAGAAGAGAGCCAATCAGTTGGAAAAGGAATGTTCCATCTAATATAGAACAGGTGAAAGATATACAATCATAAAGCAGGATTCACTTCAAGGGTCAGACTTCCTGCAGCATATGGTCACTAAAAAAACACCCAACATAATGAAGGCCATTACCATGTTCCTTAAAGCATTACTTTTACAATGCACGCCCAACATCAAATGCTCCAAGATGCAGTGAGCAGGTGAAATGTAAATATTCCTATGGCAAAAGCCATCTCTTTGGCCAGGTAAAAAATGAATACCACTCCTAGAGTTAAAGTGAGCTCTTCAGATTGCCAATGCACTAGTATTCTAGAAAAGGTGCAGGTGTTTTATGAAAGCAGGGTTTGATAAACTAAAATTTAGAGTGGATTCAAATAAATAATGATGAAGTGCCTACTACAACATGTATCATTGCTTACGGAAGCATATGCAACCTTGCTTTTGTAGTGCGTCATTGAAAGATGTCAGATTGTGTAAATGCTGAAGTACAATTCTATATGTGACTTTCAATGCATGAAGGAATCCACAGTGCATATTCAAATTTGGAAAATTGTAATCTCCCCAATTTCCACATGCGTTAGCACAGTGCCCCTACAGTTTGCCTCAGAGGAAGGCTGCTCTAGCGACCGGTGTTTTCAGCTTTCCCACCAGCAGGCAGGTGAACATTTGGAGGATGAGAATGTGCTTGCAGAAATTAGCTGAAATGACTGGGAAGGAGAAATACATCCAAGAGAGCAAACTAAGGCTTGAAATAGGTGACTGAGAATTTGAGTTATAGTGTTTCTCACAAAACTTGAGTCACTTTGTTAATGTGAAGGGGGACAAGATTGGGAATGCAACTGGAATATCGTGTGTGGTTTAGTATACAAAAATGAAAGCCTCTGGAATACTACAAATTGCTACCCCACTCAAAGCGGTGTGGGAAACAAAAGTATCGTTGACCTCCAGCAGAACATGAATTGCACTAACACCTCTAGCCTAAAGAGTAAAAAAAACAGATATGGAACAGGAGTTTTACTGTCCCACTAGAAAAAAGCATGGCCTCCCTTTATTCCAATCTCCAGCTAGCATATGATCTTGCATGTCACTGTAATATAATCCATAAGGCAGAGACTATTGCTACAATCATTTCTAAACAGTCACATATGATCCATTTCAGGCTCCTTCTCTCCTCACATCCTGATCCTTTCCACACTATGGAGTAAATTTAAGAAGCCAAAAACTCATGAATGATAAAGTAAATGCAGGATTTAGCATTAAATGAATTTGCAATTTTAATAAAATCAAAGATACATCAGCATGCAGACTTCTCTGTTTTCCAGGGATAAAGCTAAAAAAACCTCATTCATTAGCACATTTTTCCCCCCCGTTAGGCTAATTTTACATGTGAAATGTTAGGGAAAAAACCCACAAAATACGTAGCTATATGTAATGCATGGTTTCTTTCAAATTAGGTTTTTAGACTTCAAAGTTAATATTAATTTACAACTGAAATCACTGCAAAGTACCAAGACTACAGTAGCACAAAAGCTTCGAAGATGGCAAGTTAAGGTGTTTCACTGGACCTAAACTGAGAGACTCCAACTAAAATAAACATTAAACAAAACTGATTTCACAGTGGGGGACGTGGCCCCAAGTGACTGGTGTTTGTCTAGTAGCTTTTCAGTGGAACTTGTCTCTCCTTCAGAAACAAAATAAAGATAATGGCCCAAGACTTACACAGCCTCTTGTTCCATAACGTTTGCTTGTAAATTATTATGGAATCATAACAAGAAGTGTTTTCTTGCAATGTGTGTGTTTCTTTTGACTGGAAGACAAAAGAACTGGTAAGAGCCACTTATTTAATGTAAAACATGACATGTGTCTTGATAGTTCCCTGCACCAATTCTCCTCAGTTCCCACTGAGCTCTGGAAGAGATGAGGGTTCTTAGTGCTCTTCAGTATCAGGGCCTGATCCAACTCTTACTGAATTCAATGAGAAGCTTTTCCTTGACATCAATAGAAGCTGGCTCCCAGGTACATAGTATGAACTCCACAGAAGGACAAGTGATATTGAAAACATGAATCATGTTTAAATAGCAAAAAAAGGTGAAAAACTCAGTGCACTGAGTGGCAAAATGAAACAAACCTTAGGTTGGTTGTTTGGTTTTTTAAAGCCATGATTTTCCAAACTCTGTTTTTCAGTTTTTACCATATTTTGCACTCTAAAATGGAGGTGCATGGTATTTCCTAATACAGATTACATTACCAGTAACATGTTTAAGGTCAATGGTAGAACATTCTTAAAATCCCAGAGTTGGAACTGAGGAAATTATTATTAGTTCTCACTCCACAAAGTTTGATATCCATCACCTTTGTTGTTGTCAAGGGGGAAAATTTTTTAAAAAGAACAGAGAAATGGAAAAAGGAAAAAAACACATGGTATAAACACAGAAAAATATACAAAGATGTAACTAAACACAGTAACTGGGAGTGGGGGGGACGACACATCACTGCACAATGCAGTTAATACAAGTGATTAAAGAACTCAATGAATTAGGATAACATCTAATTCAATTACTGAGGAGGTGTACAAATCCACTTTCAGTACATACAAAATGCATGCATTTCCACTGGCTGACAGGGTGTTTTGCGCACCCAGGAGGAGTAACATTCTTTTTCAAGGTTAGAACTGCAGAACTCATTTTTAAAGTAAACTACTGGCAAATTTTGAGGAAATTTTTCTCCAAACTTTAGTTGGAGAAGCACAAAATATGGAAATGAAACTGCATAGTTTAAATGATTTAGTACATACCTACTGATGAAAAGCCAACAAATACTATAATTTTCACTAGGCAGTTTTAACTAATCACCTACCTACATCTCATGCAAATTACTGCCACAATTTGCAGGTGAAAGTTATAAAATTTTTTTTAAACAGAGCCTGTATTAAAATGGTAAGAAATTCAAAGCCAAGGCTGATTATGACTGAAAATAGTCTCCCCACCTTTTGAAGAAAACTTTTCTCAGGGCTTGTCTCTGCACAAAATTTGCACTGCTTTAACTTAAATCCATTTTATTAATTGATTCAATTTGTTTGTTTGGATTCTCTTACATTGGTTTAAAACTTGTTATATCAGTTTGGCTGTACATGAAAGTTTTCTGATGCAAACTAATGTGATGTTAGCCAGCTTTAGACAGGCATAAGAATATTTACACATTCTCTCTCCCCACCACTTTAACTAAACAGGTATAAAAATCATCTCTTTAGTTAAGGAGGTACAACTCTGTGTTTACACCAGGCCTCAAAAAGGGCCTTAAATGTGAATTGCTTTAGAAAAAAGGCACATTGTATTGTGGCTATCTTGCCTTTTAGCCTAGCATGCCAGATTTTAGAGCACTTGTTCGCAGAATAAGTTTTAGGCTTTGTCCCCAATAGTTTTTGTCTGTATTTGGATGGTATCATGCAACAAGTTCCCCACTGCTGTGTTACACCTAGAAAGCATTACAGAGTAAGCGGTGTACACAAATTATACTAGTGATACTGAAAAATTAAGTGAAGAATATAAAGACCCAAACAAAACGTCTGACACACCTGTACCAAATGCAGGCTCTCAGCAAAGAGGAATGGTGAAAAGGATCAGTAGTCAATCAGGAGTCAGTTCACCATCTGAACTAGTCTGGAGCAACTTCCTATGGCCTTTTTTTTTTTTTTTTTTGGAAGGTAGGGGCTCTTGCTCAGACATCAACAAAACAATAATAATTCAGTCTGGCAACTGAAAGTTTGACCCTTAAAAGTGCTTAATGAGTTAGGAGCACACGCCCCACTGACTTTCAGTGGGACATGTGCTCCCAAGTCACTGAGATGCTTCTAAAAATCTCTCCCCCCCTAAAACATTCATATTTGCTATTTGGCTTTGTTTTCTTTTCATATAATATCAGTAGCACCTGGCCACTTAATAGACAAAAATACATATTATAATAATAGCTGTATATTCTTATGTTTTTAGAACGTCTAGAAAAAACACTTTGATCATCAAAAGCTAAACCCGAAGCTACCAACAGTTTTGCATAAAGAACACTGATTAGCCAGCGCTCTGCAAAGAAAAAGCATCTCTCATGGAAGTTTTTTCCCTTGTTGCTCTCTTTTTCAATACTTACCCAGTGTTGAGAACGATAAGACAGGTTTTCAAATGACAGGGTGTTTCAAATATAAAGTTACTGTACTTATTAGTTATTTATGCAACTGTTTGGTCTATAGATGAAGACAGTTCCAGAATAAATAAACATCTACATCTGGCCCACAAATGGCCAAAAGAAAAACAAACTTAGGTGAGATGTGCCCTGAGCTAACTAGAACCCCTAATAGTGCAAACAATGTTGCAGCGATGCCTGGCTTCACCCTGGCTTTTGCAAAAGCAACAGTTCACAAGCTTTCTTAATGGCTAACACACACAAACACACACTCTCTGTGGCATTATGTTCTCTACAGCCATTGCTGCAGTGTCGCTAAGTTCTTCTCCATCCACTTAATATTCAGCTGAATTGTCTCAATAGCCTCCTTGACACAGCGAAGTTGAGAAATCTTCTCGGACTTGGACTCAAAGAAAGTTTTAACCTGCAGAGTAAGGAAAATGTACATTTCAGGCTGAGAAACGTAGGCAGTTTCCAAGTTAAGAGTGTGCCACCTGCCCATCCTCCACGCCCAGCACAAAGTACCAATGATCCACATTCACGTAGTTAGCAAATCACACAAGAGGGTTGCTGCAAATAGAGTGATTACAGCTCATGGGAACTGCAGCAATAGCCTGTGTAGCTTCAGTAAAATTCAACAAGAAATTCTGTATATTTGGTGGAATCCCTACCTTTCACTCAAAGCACAATCAAGTTGTAATCATACAGCACTCAGAAATGAACTAGCTTTCTGGAGAAGGATTCTGTTCTTGTGACAAATGGAATTACCTAAAACGATTCTATCTTTGGTACACTGAAAATCAACTTATCACGGGGGCATCTGACACAACGAAGTACGTGAATGCTAAAGCATAAGAAAATAAATTCTGTGTACAGGTAAGATTTGCACACGTTTTTACTTGGGCAACTTTAAAGATTTTAACCTTTAGCCATTTCCCTAGAAGTTGACAGTCTACAGGAGAAGCTGTAGTGGCTTCTATGCCACCTTCTGTCCTTCTAAGCCCCTGGAGTAGAAGGTGTGGGTAAGGAAAAGGGGGAGACAGCTGTGGCACCTCAGCAACTGGCTGATCCTCAACTGCTAGAATTATCTTTTAGGGCTGCTGACAGCCAAAGTAAAATGCAGTGACCTTTAGGCTGCTCTATCATACGCCATTGACCTGGATAGTGTCAGCGGTCCTGGAATCAGAAAAACAAAGCCACCTTTGGCTCAGTCTCCTACTGACACGATCAAGTCGCAGCCTGCTAGGTTCATACAATCTGAGCCAAGTAATTACCTCTGACATGGGCGATAGTCTCTCGAGTACCTTGCCCATTGGAACACGCTGACAGGATTGCTGGGTTATATTCCTAGCACTGCCACAGACTTTCTATGTAACCTTGGGTAAGTCACTTCTCTGGGACTATTTTCCCATGTGTCAAATAAGGATACTAATAGTTCTACACTATTGAAAAGGACCTTTAAATCTATAGTGAAATGCACTATGTACATGACCATATCAATCGCTAGTGCACACAATTTTTTGGAGGGGGAAGCTAATATTTAGGAAATAGTACTTTACACCACCAACCTCAAGTAGATGGGCCTCTGTTGAAAACTGAAAGGTTGACACGGTAACTATATTCTGGATAGCAAATGACCCCAAGTGGAACCTGAAATATGGAAGAAAAAAATAAGGAAGTAAAAGTAACTTGTGGTAACCAGTTTATGAAGCAAGAGCACTTCACATGCTTTTTTAAAAGACTTCAAGCACCAAAAGGGTAAAATTTTCAAACAAAACAAAACAAAGCCACTAAGTAATTTTTAAAAGTGATTTTTTTGATACTGATCATCACATTGAGTTATTCTATCATATAGTAACACAATGTTTTTTTGGGGAAAACAGCTTAAAGTTGTAACACTTGCAACAAGCTGTGATGCTCCCAGAAAAGCAAGTATATTTCTGAAGACCGGTTCCCCACACATGCACATGCACACAAAAACTTTCAGTGTCTCCAAAAGGAGGAACACATTTTTCAATCTGTTTCAAAGCATGCTGAGAGACCACTGTGGATGCAAGATATTATTCACCATGGAACGAAGGAACAATACATGCATCACTAATAGTTTCATATCACTGTCCCGTTAATAAAGGACAGGCTAATATTTTCTGAACCGGGGGGGAAGGGTGCAAACAACAATGGGAATTAAGCAACTAAACCACTTTGTGGGGGGGACGGGACTTGGGAACTTCTGAAAATTTTATTCAAAGTTAGCTCAGTCTATTATTTTGCAGTTGAAAAAATGCACGCACACAAATGCTGCACTTAACACTTCACATTAATAATTAAAGACCAAACCAAACTTACTTCCGTATAAGCTTTTCCCAGTTCTCTTTGACAAAGTCCCAGGCCAACAAGTGCCCAGGCAGACTTTGGCTGACAGTTGCTATGATATGCGAAAGTTCCTGTGCCCTGATGAGGTTTCCCTCCAGGCTTGTTTGCATTAACCTAAGAGACAAAACAGATCCAGTCAACTCAAAACTACTATACAAACATTTCACAGCTAGACTGCAGTGGCTCTCATAGGTTACTTAGCCAATTAGAACAGAGTATAGAGTTGGTCGGAGGCTACTTACAGATATATTTTCTTATCTTTTACAGATACCTTAAGAAACTAGATGGAGTCAACTAGCAGGGCCAATACTGCAAACTTCATTATTTACCTTTGGTTTGCAAATGCCAAATACCTTTGGGCCCAATCCCATGAAGTACAGAATAGCTTCAATGCCCATTTGAGTCATTTAATTCCCACCAAAATGCCAGGGGCTCAGTGACTTTTGCATGGTCATAAGGGGAAAACAAAATTCACTGGTCATCATGAGAAACTACGCTAGTTCCACAGCACAGCAGTCATGGAAACCTTCCACTGTCTCTGCTACACCCTCTGGACAGTCCTCTGAAGTGGTCAGTGAACATACATATAATGGCTGTAGATGTTGGAGATAAGGTGGCTCTAACTTCCTGCATAAAGCAAGTTCAAGATTTCATCCACACAGCAAGCAAATGCTATCTGAACTCTTGGTTCTTTGTTATGAAACAGGCCTGTACTTGGAAGGCTTCACAGTATTTCTGATCTAAAGCAACTCCACACTGATCTTCCAAGAGCGTAAAGCTTTCAAGCTTGATTCTCCTCTCACTATACATTCCAAGCAGTGTAACTACACTGACCTCTAGGGACAGGTTTCAGAGTAACAGCCGTGTTAGTCTGTATTCGCAAAAAGAAAAGGAGTACTTGTGGCACCTTAGAGACTAACCAATTTATTTGAGCATAAGCTTTCGTGAGCTACAGCTCACTTCATCGGAGGAGTTTCTAATGATTTCCACAAGCATAAGTGAGCACAGTATCAGGACCTTTGCATTTGATTATATGGAATCCTGTTCCTGATATGTTGGCTACATTTTGCTTTAATAAGCAGAAGCCTACTAAAAAATGTCTTTCTAGCACTATGTTTAGCCAATGTAAGAAAACCAGTCAGTTATTTTAAGTGCTTCTTGGGAAATGTGGATTTTCCCCTCAATATATTTTTTTTAAAAAGTTTATGCATTACATAATATTTTGAGGGGGACAAGGACAGTGAGGTAAAAAATCTAGTATTGGACCAATTTCTGTTGGTGAAAGATACAAGCTTTTGAGCTGAAGAAGAGCTGTGTGTGGCTTGAAAGCTTGTCTCTTTCCCCAACAGAAGTTGGTCCAATAAAAAGTACCTCACTTCCCCTCCCCTCCCCCCCACCCCTGCTGTCTCTCACATATTCTGGGAACAACAAAATTACACCACCACAATCTTCTGGCATTTTCATACCAGATCAGTTTTCTAATATCTTCTGTGCTGGCTAGAGCATCAAGCATTTTGTGCTTCTCAGCTTCAGAAACTGAAGACGCGTACATGCGTAGAAGGAACTCCCAGCCATCGTCAGTTTTTGCTCCTGTTGTGAATACAGTCTTCATAACATCAGTAGGCAGACTATTAAAAAAATTACAAAACAAGAATAGTCCTGTATGAGACACTACGGAAGAAACCACCACATAAAAGCTTTAGGCAAATAGCACAGGTGATGTCTTTTGCACTTAATTTGGTATAATAGTAGTTTTGTAGGACCAGATGAATTCATTTCCAGAGAGGCATCATTCAGATTCTCAAGAATTACTCACTCAGAATTATCAAGTAGGCATAGCAGTCGCATTCAACAACACTGTGGATACAAAGTTTTAATTTCTAAAATATAGTTCCTCTTGTTTTATGCCATACTATATTCAAAGGAAATGCAGTAAAAACTGCTGAATGAAGCATAGTCTCTGTGCTTTGGTGGCCAAGACTAATTAGGATCTTTCTTCAAAACAATGGTGGAGAAGTGACAGAAATACATAAACAGAACATGCTCAGACTAGTTTGTGCTTTACCTCTTCGTGCCATTGGAAGCCTTCCATTCCTCAAACAGCTCGGTGGCAGTGGTGCTACAGTTTCCCAAGTGATGGGAGCAGGCAAAGGCGAGCACAGTAGACCGGAACTCCCGTTCAGATACGGTCCCATCATCAGTCCAAGTCTGTTGATCAATTTTGCTTCCAAGTAGCGTTTTAACTCTGCTCTAGATGGTGAAAGACAGCAAGCAATACCAAGACACATTACCTTGTTCAGAGAGGAATTCACAAGCAAGATAAACAACTAATGGGAGGGTGTAAGATTGTGTAGACCACCCCCTATTTCTGACTCCTCCCTGTTTAAGATACACCAAATTAGACTACCATACACATGGCTAGTGGGTGTAAATAGATTTAAGCATACTCTCTGCATCTGAATGTTAGTGCTCTAGTCCCAGTCTGGAAGAAACTGTCAGGTTATAGACATATGAGTCAGCTTCAAGAACTTTTGAAATAGACAAGGGTGTTTTCTCCTCATTTCTATAGCAGAAAAGGATCTGGATTTTAAACAGTTTATTATTATTGAATATCTATTGCAATAGCACCTAAGAGCCCCAGTCATGGACCAGGACCCCCATTGTGCTAGGTGCTGTACACAGAACAAGAAAACAGTCCCTGCCTCAGAGTAATTATTAACCTTTATTACTCAAGACAGACAGAATAGCCTTACAAATATAAAGACAAGCCAATGAGATTCCTGAATGTTGGTCCATCAGAGTCTAACCGGAGACCGCAGTTGTGAATTGATGTTATGGGAAAATATTTCAAACACTGATATAGAGAAGAAGGAAGACATACCACTACTCTTGCTGCAAGATGCTGCATTCCTCTTTTTTCTACGAGGTCATAGATGAGACTCACTTGGAACAGAGCTTGACTGATTGGTGCAGTGTGGTTCTCTTTCACTAGGTAATCAAGCAGATGAAAGGCCTTCAACAGAGACACCTTTCCTATACTAAAAAGATCAAAGAACACAAAAGGAATTAAAATGGACTCAGAAAAAGAATTTCTTGCTAAAATGAAATCTTAAGGATGGCATCTAACTTTGTGAGGCTACAATACTAATTTAAAAAAAGAACTAGATCATGAGCTGGAAGCAAATGGAAGTAAAAATATATAAAGTATTACTGTTCTTGTAATGTAACAATGATGGCAACAATCATGCCTTTGATTAAGGGGCAGAATTAAAATAAGGTGCAGCATGGTGGCAATTGAAAGTAAGTGAAATTACTCAGATTAAGGAAGCAGTAGTCACTGAAAGGCCACCCAGAATTCTCAGCCTCATTCCAGCTGCAGAGCCAACAGAGCGGTACATGAGGAAAGTAAACCATTAAAACATTTATGTCAGAAGATACTAGTTTACTTCTCTCGAGCATAAAAGGTACTTTCCCTTTGATAGGACAAAATCACAAGGCATTTCTCTCAGACTTGTAAAAGAACATGTTGTCCTCCATGCCAACAGAACTAGCAGGTGTCCTTTACAATACAAAGGGATGAATGATGGCATTAAATGAATGGAGATCAATATCTGATGTTTTATCATTGAAACTCAATCAATGATCGCGGATACTGAACAAAAGTATCTTTAAAGCATTCTTCTCCGCAATGTCCTTAAGTATAATCCTTTGTCTTCCATGAACTTAAAATTGAAAAAGCTGTACTTCCCTCCCCCTCCCCGTATCAATTACCCCACAAGACTGAAGATATTGTTGATCAGGTGAGCTCGGTCTTCGGCACTCAGAGCAGTGAGGTTCTCTCTCAGCAGGTCAATTAGAATATTCCAGTCATCCTCAGCATAGTGCACGATATAGTAGCCATTCATGTCCACATTGAACTTTACCCATGCCACCTCCTCCTGAAGTTCAATGGTAGCTAGTTGAGAGAGAGAGACAGACACACAGACACCCACACAGTTATCCTATTAGTATTGAACATTTTAAAAACCTATTTTCTAATTCTGAGTGTTTAGAGTACTAAATGGTTTGGACCCAGCTTACTCAGGAGGTCCTTTCTCTTCCCATCTATACTATTGCAGCGGTAACCAGAGATAGTATCGGAGCTGGAAGCTCCCCTGTCATAAAAAGGAGTTGCAGTCAGCATGGTGTTGTGTGTGAAGGCCCCTTAACTCTGGGTTGTTCTCCCCTCCTATTCAGGCTAAGCAAAATAACTGGGCCACCATTTTCCACTAGTTACACCTGTGCATTCCTACAGACTTCAATGGATCTGAATTACAACTAAGAATGTAAATAAATCAGGAGACAGAAGGTGAATTTTAGCATCAAGGTCATAATGTAACTGGATTCCCTCTCTACCAAAACAGATGAGCCCTTGCAACCAAGAAACAGATTAGAAGGGAGAAGCCCTCTTTTTTAAGATTTATTTGGAGTATGGGTTGAACTGAGGGCAGAGTTTATCCCACTGGAGATAAAAGGTGGCAATTTCAAAGTTGTGAACTGCACAAATGTGACAAGACTGAATAAAATGCAACAGTTTTAGACTAGACTCATGCTCGCCAATTTGGCAATACTGGATGTGTCCCATCCCTCAGATACATTTGACAGCAGACTGACCTACCTAATTAACTACTCTCAAAAAATTACAATTAATATTTATCTGAGACCGCAATAAATGGTATAATTTTACCATTAAAGTTTTAAGTTCAAGGGGGAAAAGAAAAAAAGTTCATGCTGATTTGTGTTCATATGGTCATGACAACCTGGAATTTGGTTGTTTTACATTTGAAAAACACTGGTTTCCATACTTCCAGGAAACCAGCTTCTCATTATTATAATTTACCTGTGTGGGGGGAGGGGATAGCACATTACTTCCTGGCAGCCTTAGGTTGTCTCTATGCATCAAGCTAGAGGCCAATCTCAGAGCCATGTTATTTAATATATTTCATTTGTTCAATCATGTATTACCACATCTTCAGGATCGTATCAGCTGCCATTTTGAAGGCAAACTCAGCATGCACTGCAATGCAACTGATGCAGCCATGTGTGTCATACCACAATGCAATGGAAACAAAACATCACTGACGAATAAGAAACTTTCCTAGTAATCTTTCTCTAAAAATGAGGTGATTCAGACCAGGAGTTCACCAGCTGAATCTTCTCAAAATAAAACAAAGTGTATTTCCAAGTGTATTTCCACATCAAGCAGGTAGCGGTGGCAGGGAAGAACAGAAACAGGAATTTTTAGGATAGTAAGTCTTGAAAATCTTGTAAGAAATTAAGCAGATTCAAAACCTTTGTGCGCGCTCTCCCTCTCTCCCCCCTTCCCTTTGGTTCGATCCCCCTCCCAAAAACAAAACACCCACCCACATAATAAACCTCTCTCTACAACTCAGTCACCATTTGAGTGAACATGATACTCTGTGCCTCACAATACTCAACACTATGTGAAAGACAGGATGTGATCAAGTCACAAGTCAGTAAAGATCACAGAATTATATCTGTGACATGGTGAGATATGTCTATCAAATTATTGACTCTGTTTTCTATTATGTGCTGAACACAAATCTAAAACTTATCCTGGGGCAGCTTTTTGTATTGCCTTCCAGACAGCACCCTGCCCAGAAAGATGCTGACAACTTCTTGAAGAGCTCTCATTGAGAAGCTGTCAAGATGGCAATCACCGTCCACCAAATTTGATAGTTTCAACTGCTGACCCACTACCCATGGAATAATGTTTTTTCTGCACCAGATCCCAGAAGTTTCTGGGGATAGGGGCTGGAGTGTCTCAGTGGGGGCACCCAGCAAAGAGACAGACTCTAGTTAACGGGAGGGGGGGAGGGAGAAGGAGGAGAGTGGGTGAGCACTGCTATCCACGCATCCAGAAAACTTGCAGGATTGACTCTGCCTGGTCTGAAAGCTGACAAACCTTGGACTGTCAGAAGGGCTGAGATCATAATGGGGAAAAGGCAACTCAGAACTTTTGCTTCATTTTCCAGAGTTTTGTTGAAACTCTTGAGTGCATTAAGAGTAAAGTCACTGAGAAATTCCTTTGCTAAAACTATGTTACTTGTTTTCCTACCACGTTGTCCCCAAAGGGGTTAAACTAGAAGCGCACACATTCTAGGTGAGGTTCTGGGGAGCATGTGTAAATGACTGGGAAGGGCTGTCAGTTCCAGGTGGTCTCAAATCCTCATTCAGGGCTCTAGGGCAGCTGGCTGGTAGCACTCTACATCCCAAAGAAGGGTATAAACCCAGGAACTAGCTAGAGCTGGTCAGAAAAAGCTGAGATGGGCCAATTTTCCACCTGCAAATGCAATTCCATAAAAATCTAAATGCTTTGCAAAAATCACATCAAATTTTGCCAAAATTTTGTTTAGGTGGACATTCAAATAAAAAATGCCAAAATGTCCCAAAATATCTGGAATGAATTTTTTTTTAAAAAATGACCTTCAAATTTCACAGGGTTTATAATTTGTAATACATAATATAAATTTTTTTAAAAGAAGCTTTGCTTGGACTCAATGGACTTTTTCCCCCGGGAATTTTCTTTTGGAGATTTTGAAGATGTCAGGTTTTATTATGGTTTGAAATAAAGCCAAATTTCAAAATCTTGAAATCCTTTGTGAAGCAGAATTTCTATCCTCTGCCCAGACCTACAGCATGCTCTATCACCCCAGAACTAGAAACAGTGGCTATACTACCTAGACCCAATTGGCCTGGAAGCACACAGGACCCTGCAATTGGATCCCTTTGTAATGGACTTGTGACCACAGAGTGGGATATGGACCCAGAGATTGTAACCTTAAAAACAAAAACCCCAAACCATGGACAAACAGCATCTTGGAACAGAAGACATAAACATGTTGCTAAACTACAGACAATTTAGAGACCAATTACAGAACAGCTTATTATTTAAGAGGATTACCTATCCTTTCTGGAAAAGCTAATGTTACATTTTTGGGATCATATACGATGAAAAAAGGCATTCAACAGCAGTAACTATTCTCTGTTTATCAATTAACATTTTTGAGGCTGACTACTTACTTGACTAATGGGTGTGACAGTCACGAACATGCACACAAGTTTACACCTTGGTTTTCCCACAGATTATCGGGCTGTAAACTACTTTTCAGCCAACATCTCAAATAGCAGAGGTCCAGAAACAATTAAGTGAGATTTTGTAAATCAACTGTGAAACTTAAATTTTAAAAAAAATCATTATCTGCTTAAACTAAACTACTGTACTTTTAACGTCATTTTATAGAGCACGAACACGTTATACCAAGATAGCTATAAAGGTTTCAAGATCGGCAGTAAGCATTCAACTTCAATTTTGTATGGTTTATTTGAAGCAATAGACATGGGGGGGGGGGGGAGACATTTTTACACAGTAGGTCATCATGAAATGTGTCAGATAATGAGTGTAATGGATAGGGAGAGGGATCAGTATGATAGTAGGATTAAAGGCATTCTAAAAGAATGGATCAAATTCCCTGCTGGTGTACAGTAAATCAGCAAAGATCCACTGATGTCCCTGGCTTACACCAATGTTGGCCAAGTATTTTTAGTACAATACTAACAATCACTTTCATCATTAAAAAGAAAGTTAATTCAGCCCTCTGTACAGATTAGCACCTGTGGACTCAAAATGGCCACTGCAGCAAAGAAAAGGTGGGGAGAACGTGGGAAGGTTCCAAGTTCTAGACTGCCATACCTTGGAACATTAAAAAAAAAAAAAAGTGTTCTAACAAAGTAATTATTTTATGCCACAAAACAAAGTAAATAATATCAGAGGGGGAAATACACCTCCTTACAGTCATGCTGGCTGTGTCAATCTCCCAGGGCTGATTCCCTTAAGTACACACTGCTCAGAGCCAAATCTACTTCCTCAAGGCCCTCTCCCCAATCTGGCAGCTTGCAAAAAGACCAAGTCCTGTTTACTCCCTGTATTGTCATGTTGAATTAATATACTCCTGACATCACTGCCACTGATGCTAAGTACTCCAGGCATGCTCAGCACTCTGTGGTGACTTTGTTTGAAGGCACCATTGGTTCCTAACCACATCCTTATGTGATAACGAAAGACTAAAGCAACCATGTCTACAAAAGTGATTAAAATTACACTGTTCTCTGTTCCCTATGGGTATCATTCCAGTTATATTCTCCTCGAAAATTACTTTATACCATGCATGCCCTTGACCTCAAACCCTACTCAGGTGTGTGCAAACAAAGGCTGATATACAAAACTGAAGTAACCTGCTTTCACTGTACATTCTAGCTACAGAGGCCTCAGGTCACATACCTGACTTCTGGTCCAGTAAATATGCATAAGGACAGAGGAAAGAGCAGCTGCTAGTAGTGTAGGAGAGAGGGATATGCCAGAGATAACTGTAAGAGAAAAATTATATTTTTTTCAAGACTTATACAGTAGTATAGCTTTTTGTAATAAGTAACAATCAATACAATTAGTTTTGCTGTTGTCTCACCTTTTTTTTTTTTTAAAACTGCTTTAACATATTATGGCATTTCAACAAAATAATGTTAAGAGATCCATTATATGCCCCCCATCATTACAGTATCTGAGTAACTCACAAACCATTTTTATCACATCTCCTCCGTTCCTCACCTTACACATGGAGAATTGAGGCACAGAAAGAGTAAGCAACTTGTCCAAAAAAGGAAATCTGTGACAGTGCCAAAAATTGAACTCTGGGCACTCTGTCCCAAATTCCTCTAACAAAAAGCACAAGCAGTTACACAAGACAAGGACTCGAGATAATCCCGTACTAGAAGAGTAAATATTATCCTCAGCTTCAAATTAAGGCTGTCGATTAATCACAGTTAACTCTCACGATTAACTCAAAAAAATTAAGCGTAGTTTTAATCGCATTGTTAAACAATAGAATACCAAGTGAAATTTATTAAATTTTTGATGTTTTCTACATTTTCAAATATATTGATTTCAGTTACAACACAGAATACAAAGTGTACACTGCTCATATTATTATTACAATTTGCACCAAAAAAAGAAAGTATTTTTCAGTTCACCTCATACAAGTACCATAGTGGAATCTCTTTATCATGAAAGTGCAATTTACAAATGTAGATTTTTTTTTGTTACATAACTGCACTCAAAAACAAAACAATGTAAAACTTTAGAGCCTACAAGTCCACTCAGTCTTACTTCTTGTTCAGCAAATCGCTAAGACAAACAAGTTTGTTTACATTTACCGGAGATACTGCTGCCCACTTCTTATTTACAGTGTCACCAGAAACTGAAAACAGGCATTCGTATGGGACTTTTGTAGCCGGTATTGCAAGGTATTTACGTGCCAGATATGCTAAACATTCGCATGTCCCTTCATGCTTTGGTCACCATCCCAGAGGACATGCTTCCATGTTGATGCCGCTCGTTAAAAAAAGAATGCATTAATTACATTTGTGACTGAACTCCTTGGGAGAAGAACTGTCTACGGCTCTGTTTTATCCGCATTCTGCCATATATTTCACGTTATAGCAGTCTCGGATGATGACCCAGCACATGTTCTTTTTAAGAACACTTTCACTGCAGATTTGACAAAACACAAAGAAGGTACCAATGTGAGATTTCTAAAAATAGCTACAGCACTCAACCCAAGGTTTAAGAACCTGAAGTGCCTTCCAAAATCTGAGAGGGATGAGGTGTGGAGCATGCTTTCAGAAATCTTAAAAGAGCAACACTCCGATACGGAAACTACAGAACCCGAACCACCAAAAAAGAAAAATTCATCTTCTGCTAATGACAGTTTACTCAGATGATGAAAATGAACATGCATTGGTCTTCACTGCTTTAGACTGTTATCGAGCAGAACCCATCATCAGCATGGATGCACGTCCCTTGGAATAGTGGTTGAAGTATGACAAGACATATGAATCTTTAGTGCATATGGCATGTAAATATCTTGTGGCGCCAGCAACAACATTGCCATGCGAACGCCTGTTCTCACTTTCAGGTGACATTGTGAACAAGAAGCGGGCAGCATTATCTCCTGCAAATGTAAAAAAACTTTTTTGTCTGAACAATTGGCTGAACAAGAAATAGGACCAAGTGGACTTGTAGGCTCTAAGGTTTTACACCTCTGTTTTATTTTTGAAAGCAGTTATTTTTTGTAAATAATTCTACATCTGTAAGTTCAACTTTCATGATAAAGAGATTGCACTACAGTTCTTGTATTAGATGAATTGAAAAATACCAATTCTTTTGTTTTTTACAGTTCAAATATTTGTAACAAACATATAAAGTGAGCACTGTACACTTTGTATTTTGTGTTGTAACTGAAATAAATATATTTGAATATGTAGACAACATCCAAAAATATTTAAATAAATGGTATTCTATTATTGTTTAACAGTGCAATTAATCGCAATTAATTTTATCTAAGGCAAACCCACTGAGGGGGGTGAACTGGGTTGTACACCAATTTCCCACAAATCACTATGAATTATTCACCTGAAAAGTCATCCTTCAAGAGCTATTCACCTAAGTGCAACTCCAAAGGGACATCATGGAAAACCCAGGAAGACCAATGTACAAAAACCAACCTTCCAATCCTTATGAAGGCAATTTTTTTTTAGGGCCTAATTTTGCATGATGTGAAGTGCCCTCAACTCCCCATTAAATTTCAACTGTGGTAGAGAAAACCACAATCTCATAGGGTCTGCAGTTTGAGAATGTCCTTGTCTTGTTATATAACAAGGATAAGGTACCTGGTTACGGAGTACATTTGACAAATTGATTTTTGCAGTTATCAGTTGCTTCATATTTGCACCAGTATCTAATCATCCATAAAAAAAAGATGTTTATTGCCATGTATTCCTCCACTATTATGGATACTATTCCTAAACAAGGAATCTTTAGCAATTAACGGATACACACAAATGCTAATTTATGGTCAGTCTTACTTTGTAAGGGGGAGAGCTTCCTTATCCACATTCTACAACTGTCCTCTATCAGCACAAAATGTGCAGATTTGACCTAGTAGGAAAATGTACAGGTTCCAGAAGAAAGTTTCCTGGTCCTTTAGACACCACCAGCATTCGTCTGCAGAAGGCTACTTTATTTGTTACATTTGCAAACTCCTCTCATCTACCTTCTATCTCATCCCCATATACCCATCCTTTATGTGCCCCAACTACTTGAGCTTGAAGATTAAAAACTGCAACGACTTGAAATTTATTTTTATTTTAAAAAGGAAAATGAATCCAAACATAATCCTGCCTGTTGTCCTATTGTGCACTGGAGTTAATCATAGAAGCCACTTAAAAACATCAGAAAAATGAATAAATAAAATTTAAGTTATGATGAACTCTGTTCTGAGAAAAAGCAATGTAAGGTCTATTTCAGTTGCTGAGATGGAGGCAGACAGGGACTATCTTTTATTTTTCAAGGCAAATAATAAAATACCTCTGTGCGTACTGCTGTGTCTCACTTCATTTATTACTACCTGCTCTTTAGAGAAAACTGCTGGAGCTCTGAATGTGTTAAAGTGAAAGGAATATGCACTCTGAAGACAGTTAAAATTGCATGAAAGTAAAAGGTAGATTTTCTGAGGGCTGGGGGAGAATAACCTTGCATCTGATGTCCAATTTTCTGATTCCACACTGCGCAAGAATCTCTCCTGCTGGACATGGAGACTCTTTCCTTTTCTTTTAACAGTTACTAAGGGAAATCCTTTCTGCAGAATCCAGGTTTTCATCAGTTTTTTTACATCTAGTGTTCCGTTTGTGATCTGTAAAACATGAAGACATTCACTTTCAACAGGAAGACAATGGGTATTCTTCATTTCTCTTTGTCAAATTCTATCCTCAGCTCAGCTCACCACACAAGAGACATCTTGAAACTAAGTGCCAATGCAAGTAGCAGGTTAAGCCCCTGTGCAGAATTATTCTGTATTGGCTTGCCAATTTTGTCAGCAGTAACTGAGGTAAACAGGTGTTTTATCTTCTTGAATGCAAGAGATCCAAGTGACAGCCAAATAAGAAAGGGAAACATGGGAATGCCAAGCAGGCTAAAGTAGGATGTGGAGGGAGGAAAACAGAGCAAGTAACTTATGGATTAATTTTAAGGGCAGGTGTTCTGGGTTGTTTTTTTTTTTTCCTTCTTCTCTATAATTCCAAAATAGCAATGAAAGTAGAAGTTGCAGGTTAGAAGGCAGGTTTTATTTTTCAATAGTGAACATTAAGATCTGAATTAAGAAAGTCTGAAATGCCCAACCGATTCTGCTTCCATCTGTGGTTAAACAACCTTTTAAATTAAAAAAAAAAAAAAAAAAGCATTCAATATTAACTAACCTTTACTTATTTGCTGTTCATGTGTCACCCCCTCCAATTCTTCCAATATGCTACTATTACAATAAAAATAAAAACTAATGACTCTTTGCATTAGTGCAATACTCTTCATCCCTACATTGCAAAGTATTACACACAGTGGTGGTTATGTGTTAGCACCTCCACCTTTCTAGTAGGTAACTAATGCCTCAGTCCTACAAGCTGTCTCACACAGATGGATCCCTGCACTTGCGTGCAATGGGATTCAATATGAGGGGGGCTGTGTGTATGCACAGGGGTCAGCCTACCTGGAACAACTTGCAGGACCAGGCTCTAAAGGAAAAAGGAAGTTTATCACTGTTCAAATTACCTGTATTACTTGCTGTTCTGTCCAACTGTCACTTTTTCAGCTGCCCTCACTGTCCATCTGAAATTCAAGTTATTGGTCTATGCCTACACTTATGGAAGAGTCCTATATAATTGAATAGGGGTTAAAAACTCAATAAAATTATCAATTCAACGGAAATAATTTTCTGTAAAGAGCTTCTGTTAAAATTTCTAGAGAAAGCTTATCATTCGTTCTTAAGTTTACTTTTTGATTTATTTGGGTGGACTCCCCAGCTACCTCATCTCATTCACCTTCTCTTCCTCCCACCCCCACCCCAGTTGACAAAACTCCCCCTTATGCTCATCTGTGTCCTTCCTACACTTGTAAACCTTCTCTGGCCCAGTCTGTCCACACTCCATTTTCTTCTCCTCAAAATACACTTTTGCCAAGAGACCTACTAATCCTAGTCCACCAGCAAAGTGCTTGTTTCATTAAAAAAAGAAAAAACATCATGGAACTAACAAGGCCCGTTACCACCATCAAATCTTCTTGCTTCTCTCACATCCCATCTCCTTTGTTTCTGTGTTGTCTGCTTAGATTGCAAGCCATAGAGGGCAGGGATCAAGTCTTCTTGCACGTCAGTACAGTATCTTGCAGGTTTACAGTGTCTAGGCACCATGCGAGCCAATGTAAATTTTGTGCCATTGAAACCCCCCAGCTCCACAGTTCCAAGAAATCGCTGAAGTGTAAGTAATGCTTTTAAAAATTAATGTCTGAAATGTTCAGCATGCTAACACTGATCCATGTTCTTATCTGGCTTCTGTCATTAGAGCATCTCTTAAATCCAATAAGAGCAGGAAGGACTCCAACAAGGGAAAGAATTTCTCTTTCCTCCCACAGAAAGAGACTGAAAAGTTTGTTTTCAGTTTTTATTTTAAATGCTTTAAAAGAGCCTCCTCTTCTCCTTTACCCCGGTTCTTGAGGCTATTGTATGAGGCTAAAATAAAGAAATGGATTTTCCATTTTGTTCTAAAGACAATGATGTTTATGATAAAAGGAAACCAGATTTTATGGTTGGGATTTTCAGAAGTACTCAGCTTTGGCCTAACTGCTCCCACTGAAATAAATGGGAGAGTTAGGTCAACGGTGAATATTTTAAAAAGTCCAACCCAGTAAGTATCACTGGTGGAATGGAGATTCAAGCTTTTCTTCTGTACTAGGGCCCAAATCCTACAGATGTTTAAGCACATGAGTAATTTTATTCATCTGTCTAGTCCCCACTGACATCAGTGGGACTACTCATGTGAGTGAAGTTATGCATATGCTTAAGCGTCTGAAGGCTCAGGGGCTATAGCATAACACTAGTAACATGATAGTTATGGTTCTGAATGCCTTCCCCATTCCACTTTTCCACTCTTTAAAACACAGGGGAGAGGAGGGCTAGCAGGTTTGGCAGGCTCTCTTCTAGGCACAAGTGTTGCTCATTTATGTTTGTGCATCTCTGCACAGAATTTTGGAATGAGTGATCATGAGCAGAATGACTGATAAACAAGGACTTTTCAATATATGTCTGCAATATATGGTCTTATTTAGTAATGCTAATATAAGGAAATAAAAGCAAAGACATTTTCTAACATCTCACTATAGCACATCATGTAAAAACCAAAACACAGAATATCCAAGACGGTTACCTCATTCATGCTGTCCCATAAATCATCGCTGCGGGTGGATCCGTAGCTGTGATTATACAAATAATTCTCAATCCCAGCTTGAAAACTATCATGTTTGATATACTTTTTCAGCATCAACAAAAGGGAAGCTCCCTTAAAAAAAAAAAAGTCAGTAAGAGAAAAAGGTGTTTAAGAACCCGATTCAGGAGAAGCAAGCACAGATTACAAGACTGTCAGTACTACTGGCTTTAGGAGATAATTTAGGAGAGAATAATTGAGATTCCGGCCCAGGGAGTTTAGTCTGAAAGCAATTATTTTGACAATCTAAAATGCTTGGGAAAATGTTTACAGATTTAAAAAAAGACACAAAAAAACAAACAAACAAACAAAGATGTTTCACCGACATTAACTTAGTTTGAAAGACTTCCCAATTAGTACCATGTGAAAGAAATGGCGTTGTGGTGGATGCACCGTCGATGGTTGTCAGATTTCATTAATACTACTGTTAGGTGCTGTACCTCTCCGTCCTTGCGAGAGCTGGTGTTAAATTCTAATATGTAAGCAACTACACAAGAATGATAGAGCCAAACAGCAATCACAAAAGAAAGCAAGATACATCAATAAGTGAAAACAGGGAAGAGAAATGCCAACAAGTACATATATGGATGCTGCTTGTTTAAAAGCTTGAAAAGCACATGAAAATATTTTGTAAAATAAGCCTTTCAAACTGCTAAGTTTTCACAGAGCTAAGTATTATTTTTAGATCTGTTTCCATCAGTGAAGTCACGGAGCAATCCATGTCTGCGGACAGAACTGTGGTTTTACTCAGTTGAACACAAGGATCCTCCATGGAAACATTCCTACATCACAGCAACCCAGTCCATAAATAGCCCAAGGGTAGACAGATTGCAGCTAAAGTGACACTGACCCTGACTAGTTTATGTACATCACACTGTTGGTACCAAAACATACATTGGAGAAAGAATAAAGAAAACTGAAAGACCTTTGGGGAACTCCAGCTATTTAACATTTGTGCCTTGTCTAGACTGGCAAGTTTCTGCCCAGTAAAGCAGCTTTCTGCGCTGTAACTCCTGAGGTGTACACACTGCCAAGCCACTTAGTGCACAGAAACTGCGCAGTTACCGCGCTGTGAAAAAGCCACCCCAACGAGAGGCGTAGAGCTTTCTGTGCCGGGGCTACAGTGCTGCGGTGTCAGTGTAGACACCCTGGTCGATAACTACGCCGCAACTGGCCTCTGGGAGGCATCCCACAATGCCTGTTCTCGCCTCTCTGGTCATCGGTTTGAACTCAACTGCCCTACCCTCAGGTGACCAACCATCAGCCCCACCCCTTAAATTCCTTTTGAAAGTCCCCTTCCTGTTTGCTCGGTGGTGTGTGCAGTGGTCTCAGCGCATCTTTCTAGGTTGTCGAACCTGCTCCACACACCCGCTTGGAGCAATGCTGAGCGGCTGGGACCTCATCAGCATTTGGGGAGAGGAGGCTGTCCAGTCCCAGCTGCGCTCCAGCCATAGGAATTATGATACCTATGGACAGATTCCACGACGCATGACAGAAAGGGACCATGACCAGGACACATTGCAGCACAGGGGCAAAGTGAAGGAGCTGCGGAACGCCTAGCACAAGGCGCTGGAGGCAAACCACCGCTCCGGTGCTGCGCCCACGAGCTGCTGGTTCTACAAAAAGCTGGACGCAATACTTGGTGGTGACCCCACCTCCACTGCAAAGGCCAATGTGGATACTCTGGTGGCTTGCATGCCAGTCGAGATTGGAGAGAGCCAGGAGGAGGAAATCTTGGACGAGGATGTGGAGGGGGACCCAGAGGCAGAGGATGACTCAGAGGTCAGAGATGCATGCAGCCAGGAGCTCTTCTCTACCCTGGAGGAGGCTAGTCATTGGAGCTTGGCGAAGCACAGACAGGAGGCGGTGGCCCCTGGCAAGTGGCTTTGATTTTGGGAATCACTGAAGCAAACTGTTGGGGGCAGGAGGGTTGCAGAAAGCCGGCTTGTGTCTGTCTGATGTGCATACCACCACATGCCTAGTCTGAGCGGTTTAACAGGGGGTTGATTGACTCCCTCACTTCACGGGAATCTCCCTCAGATCTCCACGAAACTAATGGAGATACTGGGAAATCCGCTGCTGCAGGTTCTTTGGCAGAGCTGCTTTGTTTCTTGCCCCATTAACGGTAACTTTCCCGCGCCACTCTGCCACATTGCTGCACACAGGTGAGCGCATAAGGGCCAGGGCAGAAGCTGCAGTCTTGGAGATGATCCTCCCTTGACTCCCTGCTCACCCTCAGCAGTGAGATCTTCCATAATGAACACAGCCTGTGGAAAATGTGGGGACAGTAATAATTATAAGGCCCCCCCCCCCCCTACAGTGATGGCTCTCCCCAAGAGCCACATGCCCAGCGTACAGTATGGTCCTGGAACACTGATTTCCCCTACCCCTGCAGTTACTCACCATTTTGGGAGTCTGGATGACCCCAAGCAAGCATGCATGAGCCACAAGTTAGTGATAGGTATGTGAATAGTGGCTGTGTTTTAAAACACTGAATCAGTGGTCTTTGTGTTGCAAACAAAACTGCTTCCGTAAAATGTTGCATTTTGGCTTCACAGAGATGACCCTGGGAGCCCAGCCTCCCTCTTCGTTATCTCCCGCTGAACAGCTGCGCAGAATTAGAAGGCAGCCACAAAGAACTAAGGACCTTTCTGCGCGAGGTTATGATTCACTCCATGGCTGAAAAACAGGAACTGAAGGAGTGGCAGGACAGTGAGAAGAGGGACTGAAAGGGAAACGTGGCGCACCAGAACGAAGCCATGGAGCAGCTGTTAAACGTTATGGAGCACCAAGCGGACATGCTCCAAGCACTACTAGCACTGCAAACCGAGCAGCTCCACCCCCACCCTAACCTGCAGCCGCTAAAAACCCTTTGCCACGCGCCCCCCCAGACACCACCACCACACTCTTATCAACCTCCTGGCTCCAGTTTGTACCTGCTGCATTCCACTCCTCTCCCGTCACAGTATAGCACTGTGGACTCCTTGTATCCACTGCACTCAACACCCGTCTCTCTGCAGTTTAGCCCTGCTGAAGTACAGAACCCTCTGCACTGTACTCCAAAGGAGGAGGTTGGATAGGATTGTGACGTTGCACCCCATAAGGCTCTATCGAAATATGCTTATGATGTATATATGACATAACTGGAATATGTTTTATGCTACCTATGACATGTAACGTATCTCTGTAAAGGTTATGATCTACTGAATCTATTCATCCTATTTGTATGCATGTATCATTTTTGTATTCTAAGTTATGAATATTGGCTGTGTACTTGCTTGATTTTTAAGTAGCCTTAGTGAAGCATTTGGTCAGCGTCTTGAGAAAGGAATGTGCAAATTAAATGCCAAATCAAGAAGCACTTAACAGACAATGGATCTTGAAAGGCTCCAATCCACATAAGAAGTCTACATGAGGATGTTCAATGTAGCACGTGAACCATGGCTGCTACCTGTAAGTTCTGAGTCATGCATGGACTTGTGACTCCAAAAGTCCATCTTGTAGCTGGAATTCTACACAGGGGGATGGAGGGGTATCCACCCACAAGACAAAGTCTATTTAAACCCCTAGGAGACACCTCCATTTTGTCTTCAACTGGCTCAAGAGATAGCCTCTCCACCCCCAAGGATACCTGAAAGAAACTGGACCAAAGAACAGTAACTACAGGGGGGTGAGTGATTGCTGGACCCAGACTACAAGGAGACTAGTCTGTAAAAGGAAGCTTACTGGAACTCCTCTGAGGGTGAGGTTTTATCTGTATCCAGTTTTCTTACTGTATTAGGCACAGACTTGCGGGTTTTATTTTATTGTACGTGGTAATTCACTTTGTTCTGTCGGTTACTACTTGGAACCACTTAAATCCTACTTTCTGTATTTAATAAAATCACTTTTTACTTATTAATTAACCCAGGGTATGTATTAATACCTGGGGGGCAAACAGCTGTGCATCTCTATCAGTGTTATAGAGGGCGAACAATTTAGGAGTTTACCCTGTATAAGCTTTATACAGGGTAAAACGAATTTATTTGGGGTTTGGACCCCATTGGGAGTTGGGCATCTGAGTGTTAAAGACAGGAACATTTCTTAAGATGCTTTCAATTAAGCTTGCAGTTTAGGGGATGTGGTTCAGACCTGGGTATGTGTTTGTGGCCGGCAAGCATGTCTGGCACAGCCAGGCAGGGCTCTGGAGTCCCAAGCTGGCAGGGAAAGCAGAGGCAGTAATAGTCTTGGCACATCAGTTGGCAGTCCCAAGGGGGTTTCTGTGATCCAACTTGTCACAATGATACCTGGATACACACAAATCTTTAACAGTCCTGGGACCCCACCTCCTCCTGGGATCCTCCCTTCCCCTATCCCCCTCAGTGCTGATGTGTTCTTTTTGTTTGTCTCTCTCCTCCAGTTGTTTAATAAAATAATTGTTTTGGTTTGAAAGTAATCTTTATTCCATTAATTGAAAGCAAACAGAGCCCTGCAAAGCAACAGGCAATTTTCTTAAACCCTCTTAGTGCATCATCTGTACCAATCACAATCACCTCCTAGCATTACAAGCACTGCACTCCTGAACATAGCAACAAATATTAGTGGCTTTCAGGTTCAAATCGCTGCCTCAAAGCATCCCTGATCCTTATGGCCCCGTGCTGCGCCCCTCTAATAGCCCTGGTCTCTGGCTATTCAAATTCAGCCTCCAAGAGCTAAGTCTCAGCAGTCCAGCACTGAGCAAAGCTTTCACCCTTCCCTTCACAAATATTATGGAGTGTACAGCATACAACTATAAGTATAGGAATAGGGTCATCGGCCAGGTCCAGCCTCCTATATAGGCAGCACCAGTGGGCCTTTAAATGGCCAAAAGCACACTCAACAGTTATTCTGCACTTGCTCAGCCTGTTGAACTGCTCCTTGCTGCTGTCAAGGTGCCCCGTGTATGGCTTCATAAGCCACGGCATTAAGGGGTAGGCAAGGTCTCCCAGGATCACAAATGGCATTTCGACTTCCCCTACGGTGATCTTCTGGTCTGGGAAGAAAGTCCCGGCTTGCAGCTTCCTGAACAGGCCAGTGTTCCGAAAGATGCGTGCATCATGCACCTTTCTGGACCAGCCTGCGTTAATGTCCATGAAACGCCAGAGTGATCCACAAGCGCCTGAAGAACCATAGAGAAATACCCCTTGCAATTAATGTACTCAGTGGCCTGGTGTCAGACTTGGAATATATGTGTCATCTATCGCCCCTCAGCAGTTAGGGAAGCCCATTTGTGTAAAGCCATCCACAATGTCACGCACGTTGCCCAGAGTCACAGTCTTTCAGAGCAGGATGCGATTAATGGCTCGGCACACTTCCATCAACACAAGTCCAGCCATCGACTTTCCCACTCCGAACTGGTTAGCGACTGATCGGTCTGAGTCTGGAGTAGCTAGCTTCCATAGTGCAATTGCCACGCGCCTCTCCAACGGCAGGGCAGCTCTCATTCTCGTGTCCTTGTGTTGTAAGGCTGGGACAAGCTCATCACACAGTCCCATGAATATGGCTTTCCTCAGCCGAAAGTTCTGCAGCCACTGCTTGTCATCCCAGACGTGCATGACGATGTGATCCCACCACTCAGTGCTTATTTCCCGAGCCCAAAAGTGGCATTCCACTATGCTCAGCATCTCCGTGAATGCCACAAGCAATCCCGTGTCATAGCTATTACCTGTGGCAAGATCGATGCTGAACTTCTCTTGCCTTTGTAGTTTAAGGAATAACTCCACAGCCACTTGTACGTGTTAGTCAGAGCAAGCAGCATATTGATCAACAGTGCGGGATCCATTCCTGCAGCCTGAAGAGGCAGAGCATGCAGTACACAAACGGTTGAAAGATGGTGCCAAATGCGGACTGAGGCACAGGGATTGCTGGAATGCAAAGCAATGCATCACAAGGCATTGGGACAGGACCCAGGATGCCCCACAACCACCTCTGCCTTCCCACAACTCCTATCAGCAGAAGAGGAAGAGATGTTCTGTAGGACAGCTGCCCAGAGTGCACCGCTCCGAAGACCACTGCCAGTGCCACAAGTGTGAACACACTATTGCGCAGGCAGCCGACAGTGTGAACACACAACAGCGATTTCCCTTCAGTGCTCTCTGAGCAGCGCTGTAATTGTCGGTGCAGTAACTCGGCCAGTGTAGACATACCCTCAGTTGAAAACTAGGATCCTCCATGGAAACATTGCTACATCACAGCAACCCAGTCCATAAATGGCCCAAGGATAGACAGATTGCAGCTAAAGTGACACTGACCTTGAATAGTTTACGTACATCACACTGTTGGTATAAAAAAAACAAAAAAAAAATACCACACACACACTGGAGAAAGAATGAAAAAGACCTCCGGGGAACTCCAGCTATTTAACATTTGTGTGACATCACAAGTGCTGCTCTTAACAAGTTTTGCATGAATATTTTAGAATTTAAGAAAGACATCCTCAGGGAATTTAAAGGCTTTAGCTATCTGAACTGCAGGTGTGTCATTTACTACAAAGCTTTTTAAACACTGGCAATCTTCACTTCTTTGCATGCTTGCATTTGTGCTTTAGATTTGACTTTATTTGCTCATTTTCTCATGAATTAGTGTAATGTGTCTCCAACGAACAGTTTGTTCCACTAGCATTTTCTTGTTTTTAGGAAGTGTTCAGATAACCTGGTGGCCTAGAGGTTTGTACTCCCAACTTCCTGTAAGAGACCAAGGCTCAATTTCTGATTCTGGGCTCCTTGTACTCCTTAGAGTGGGAGCAGTGTGGAAGCTCCCTACTCAACAAGACCTCCAGGACAGAGGAGCTTCCCTCTGGGGCCAGTATGGCCACTGGTATGGGTAGGGCTTTGATGGCCAGTAGGCACCCGGCCAGGGACCTATATTCTGGCCTTGAGGCACATGTCAACACTGGTATCCATAGGGGTTCCCCCGGTGGCCTCCATAGTCCCTCTGGCAAAGTCAAACAGGAAAAGGAAGAGCCATGCTCCGAGGCGTCAGAGTCCCAGGACTGTGGCAACATGGGGGCACCAGTTTTGGATGGAGACAGGAGACTATCAGATTTGTCCAAAGTCCAGCTGGAGGTTGGGATCAGTGCCCCCGATGCAGACTGCACTGCTGGCTGCACAAGGGTCGGTGCCACTGGCAGTCGGTCCTGGTGCGGGTATTGGTAATGGAATGCTCGCGCAGCTTGATGTCCAGGGTGGGGATAGCCTACATGGGACAACCTGTGGGGTCAACTGCACTGGTACCAAGGAAGGGCCTTGCACTGCCTCTGGCACAGTGTCCCCAGCAGCCCCAGGCAGGGGAGTCTCCAGGTGCCAGGCTGAGACTTCGACCATACACTCCAACTGTAGACCCAATGCGGGTGCCAGACTCGCAAAGTCTTGGACGAGTGGCGAGGATGGGACCCACAGGCCAAGGAGGTCCACTGACAACTCTTGAACTGTCAGTACCAAACTCAACAGATGCCCAGGGGCCAGAACCAGAGTTGACAGAACCAGAGTTGACAGTACGTCCACCCTCCCGTCCTGTATCAAGGGAGAGTCAGAGGCACCTGCACCATCGGGCATGCCGGAGCCAGCACTGAGCCAGTCTGTGTTCCTCTTAGGGGAGATGGAAAAGTTACCTCAGGATCTGGAGTGTCCCCAATCAGCTTTATGGGACCTCTTAATTGGTGTTGATGATGGAGAACAACTCCTGCGCCTCTTCAGAGACAACCCAGTCCCAGAACAGGTGGCAGACATTCTCTCCGAGCCAGAGAGCAATCTGCGCCCTGAGGACGGCCTCGGTACTGGGTGAGCCCTCATGGCCTGCTCAAGCAGGTGCTGCTTCAACCAAAAGGACCCATGTCACCCGAGTCCATCTGCTGTTCTTTTAAGAAGAGAAGCAGCACTCATTTAGATGGGCTTTGCCCAGAAAAAGCGAGCACCACGTGTGGGGTTCGCTATTGGGGAATCGCCCCTCCACACAAAGTGCAATGCTTGAACCCCAGTGATGGCATCACCAGGGAGCACTACCACTAAACAAAAAACACATTACTAATTATCAACTATGTACAACAACTAGGCTGGGAGGGAGGGGGACGGGAAAGAAGAAAGCCAAAGGTCATGAACCACCACCACTGCCCAGAGCTCCAGCTCCAGCTGACGGGTGGTAAGAAGCAACTGAAGGAGGTTGGGGTGATGCAGCCTTAGATAGCCAGGGGAGGGGCTACAGTCATGAGGTACAAACGCCATCCCTCTAGGGGCACTGCTAGATCTCTGGCGTGCACTCACCTACTTTGAATACACATCTGTATCTACTTGAAGAAGAACGACACTTACCAGAGCAAGGCTAAACCAAAGTTATTCAATGCAATATTCAATCTTTAGGGCCTGATCCAGAGTCCACTGAAGTCATTGAGAGTCTTTCCATGAACTCCAATAGGTTTTATATCAGGCTATTAAAGCGTAGGATTTAAACATGAAGTAAAACTCTTAAAACCACATTCGTTTCTATGAAGATATTCTGAGTGAAAGATTGGATCACCTGCAATTCTTAGCCTTGCTATTGATTTCCCAGTAGCCCCTTAAAAGTAATCTCTTTATTAAGAAGGTGTACAATAATCATCTGGAGGCCCAAGACAACATTCAGATCCTATTTGGCAGTGCAAAGCTCCTGTCATCACACATCCTAGGGACAGATGGCAATCAGAGCCTCACAGGCAAGGCAGCTTGAAAGTGACATGCTCTTGTGCTTCCACTTTAGAGAGTGGAGCACCAATGGAAATGCAGAGGCTTCGTTATGGCAAGCTGCTTCCATTATAATGCTGCAATTGGCATCTCAGATGTCCCCAGGGTGTTGGGATGAGAAGTGTTGGATTTTAAGCTCTGTATCTATTTAAAAAGAAAAATAAAAAAAGTCTTTCATTAGGTACTAGTTTCCCCCTACCCTCACACTCCTTTGTGCTTTTTGGGGGGATAGATGATGAAAAGGTCAAAGTCAAATGTTAACAAGGAAAATAATCGGTCTTGCTTTTAAGTTAGTGTGGAATACAAACACAGAGCTGAAAGCAAAAATAGGTTTAGCAAATTTAAATATGTGTTTAAGACGTGATGGTGTCAATATTTGGGTATATTTTTGTGTTGTAGTAAACTGGAAGTGTCTACAGAAAATATGGACGAGAAAAGTGAGGGACACAAACAATAGAGATGTGAATGAAATCTTTTCCTATGGAAAAATAGACAGATTCTTGGGTGCAGCTGAGTTCTGCTCAACACACAATTGAAATAGGAGGAGAAAAGGGTGATTATATGCCACTTTTACATCCTACTAGTGCTGAGTCCAATCCTGATCCTAGGTCCAGTCACAATTTACAGCAGTCTCAGGTCTGCCCTAATTTTCATCCAGCTACAATTGCCCTTAAGGAGTAATTCCAGGATCTAGAGATCACCAGAGTACCAGTGGACTCCATGCACCCACTGCCGCACCTAAGTCCCTGGAGGGCAGGGGGATGCGGTGGGGGTTGACAGGTAAAGTCATGAAGGTTGGGGTGGGAAAAGAGAGGCACAGAGCCAGCTACACTGGTGTAACATGACACTGGGCACGTATGTTAGTATACTGAATGGGATCAAATGCCTACTCATAGGAGAATAATTTAATCAGTATTAAAACACAGAAAACCTCTCATGAAATGTACAGTTTTCTCTTGAGATAAAAATACTGGAGGCCAAGTAAAAAAACTGGCATCTTATGAGCAGCCTAACTTGCATTTACCCACAAGGATGATTAAAGAAAAAGTTCCTGACTTAATTTGTTATTTCCCAAAAGAAGATGATTTTGGAAAAGAGATATATACAAAACACACGAGACAGAGTGATTTTGCTAGCCTCTTCTGAGGTTACCTTGATATAGGAAAGTGCATCGAACATTTCTTCAATCTGCTCTGAAGATTGGACAGCAGAGGAGATTGGACGTGAGGCGTTTAAGGAGTCTTTCATCATTGTCTTGAATCGTAGTTTCAGGAATTCTTCATCCTAGAAGAGAAATAGGAGTTTTTGCCCACGTGAGAAGTTAGAACAATAAAGGATTATGCCAAATTCACCATAATTCAGAACTGGAACGCAGAGCCTGGAATAGATAAGTTAAGCATTCCTTCTCCCTGCTGTCCTATTTACTTGGCATGTAGCCTAGTCATCTGACCCTCTCCATTTTGAGGCTCAGACTCTCTTTTCTTCTCTCACTGGAGACAGCAAACCAGTCAGTCAGTCTCCTCTACCTAGATTATCATTGTTTAGTGCACTGTGGAACCATCAGCTCTCTTCCTCCCATAGCAGCAGAAGCTTACTAATGGACACACTTGTAAACCTGTATCTGCATTGCCACAAAGAGAGGTACCATGCACAATTCCACAGCCTACAAGAATAAAGTGTCCAAAGACCCAGTCTCTCCACAACAACCAGCCTCTCTTCACAGCATAACAGCAGATATTCAGCAACAGTTAAAACCCTTGGCTTTCAACAGAGGTAGGATTTTGTAGAGAGTCTGTAATTGGCATAATTTGTAACTTGATTATGCTGCCAAACACAGAATCAAGGCACATACACATTCAGGTCAATCGGACTCTACAGAGCCAAAGGTTTGGTGTAGGCAGATCCTTTTGCAGGTTCAGGGCCATATACTGTAAATTTGTTGGTACAGGAACCAGTGTCTGTTATTTGCAGCTATAAAGCAGCCTGCACACCCACAGTATGATGATGTATAATAATCTAACCATAATCACCTGCCATAGGAATGAATATCTTCAGAAATACTGAAGTGTTTTAGCTAATACATTGTCTAACACAGGTTGGACTGGCAATGGTTTATATAATCCTTCCTCCAAATGAATGAACTAATGAGGCTGAAGAAGTGATTCCACAATAATTATAGTCTAAAAAAATTACAGTGAAGTCACTGGACTATAGAATGACTTGTTAGGAATATGCACACTGAACATTAAACCTGATCTTCTTGGCACCAGAACCTGAAATCTTTATTACATTCTAGATTTACATGCAGCAACTTTAAATAAACGCACTGAATATTACCAGAGTACCTCTACCTCCTACACTTAAGAGTCTGACCTACTACTATCCAACAGTGAGATGGCAGATATTTTGCCCTTTTTTATTTCAGTGGGGCTTTGTCTGGGTGCAGAGGTCTGCTAATGTGTTTATGAGTGCAGGATTGAGGCCTTAGAGCACTCCTGATAAGAAAAATAAAGAAAGATCAATGAATAAAATAGTCAAGTTGCTCTGGGGCCAATATACATTTTTTGTGAAGATTTAGATACTATTTTCTTTAAGTGTGCATGCGGGAGGAGTTTGATAAAACATTTTTGGCACCACCAAGTGGTGAAATTTTAGGCTTCAAAGCAGCAATTTAATTTTTTTTTAAAGCAACTTGTTTGACTGAAAAGTTACAACCACAAGATTCTAAATGAGATTTAGAAGTATACAACACGTAACTTGCACAGTAGGTTAAAATACACACTCATGCAAAGCATGATTCAGTGTTAAACACTAGATCACTGATTAAACAAAGCAAAAAAGTTTTGCCCATTATTTTGTGCCTATGAAGAAAACATCAATTTATCTGTTTCAAAGGAGGTCACACGTAAAGGAGTGCATGTGCAAATTTGTAGGCCACTTTTGAAAATTTAGCCCACACAATTTTATTTAAACAGTGATTAAGATTCCATATTATTTGTAATCTTATCAGTGAGTGCCCTTGGAACGATTTAGAGTGCAATTTATGTCAGATTTTCATCACCTAAACCTCGTGAAATGGAGGTAAAAAAAAAATTTTATGTCAGCATTAAAAAGAAACCTCACTGATGGGAGAAAACTTCAGATTTAGATGAAGTACTCACAGTCTGCAGTTCTGGGAAAGTTCTTTCCATGGCATAGTATTCCATAAAAGTGGCAAATCCTTCATTCAGCCAAAGATCATTCCACCATTCCATAGTTACTAAATTACCAAACCACTGGGGGGGGGTGAGGGGGGGCAAAAAACAAACAGTTTTTAATTGTGCAAGATGTGAGAAAAATCAGTCAAATTTCAAGATTATAACAAACGTATAATCCAACCAAGAAAAGACACTTTATGAAGGGCTACATTGTGGTTTTGCCACAAACCCTATGTACAGGGCAACATTTAGTTGTGCTTCCCCACAAACAAGCTAGGAAAGAGATTACGACCCAGAGGTCCAGTAACTTCCAGTTTCCTGCTACACCAAGAGCAAAATACCCACAAGTTCTATACCCGGTGCAGTGCATATGCTTAGCAAGTGTAATAGGGAAGGGGAAGTGTTAGAATGAGAGAAGACTGCATTGTTAAAATATAGCATTTTAATCCAGTACCTGATGAGCCAGCTCATGAGCTATCACTGCAGTTACCAGCTTTTTATCCATTGCTGAAGAGGTTTTAATGTCATAAAGGAGTGTTGTCTCTCTAAAGGTGATTAAACCCCAGTTTTCCATAGCACCTGCCTGGAAATCAGGAATAGCTACCAAATCTGGGGAGTGAGGGGAAATAAATAAATGAACCAGACAGTCACAAGTTACAGTAATGCTGCACTTCAGATCTACCTGCTTTACCACAATCTAGATCTACCAAACTTCACTATTTAGCCACCAATGCTGCAAACACTACATGCTAGCTGTAAGTAAACAAGTCATCCCATTGATTTAAAGAGCAATTACGTACAGAGAAATAGTTTTGCAGGTTTGTGTCAGGTAGATATGTCACTCATACTGAGAATTCTCTATGTCCCTATCTGAGCATATAGTGTTAAAATGTACAGCAAAACTTCTCCAGAGGGCACACTGAATTGGCCTTTCTTACACCAAAGGTTTACAAACTTCTTGAGCCTGGGACCCATTTCCCACACACTCATACAAGCCCAGTTAAACAGCTATTAAATTTTAATATTTTTTTTAAAGTCAGGTTTTGGAGGGTTTTTTATTCTTAAATTATTTTTATTTTGAAAAACCCTCTGAAGTATGGAAAAAACTGCTACTTATTAGAAAATTATTATATATTTATTTATATATTTTTTTAAAAAAAGATAGATGAAAATGCTTTACCTAATTTTTGAAGAGGATACTCTATATGAAAATACTTCCGATAAAACTCCAGGAGCTTCACTGCTGTGTCTAGGGCATGCTCAACTTGGCCTAGCTTCTGTGGCATGGCATATATAGATACCTGGCATAATAAATAAAATAAATAATAAAAATAAATGAGAAGCAAGAAAATATTTCATGGGATGCAATCACAAACAGCAAGAGAGGGAACTGGTAGGCAAAAAACTAAGTGGATAGGGGTAATTCCCTGGCTAGTTTTAAGGAAATGTATATAAAAATCACAAGCATTTGATATCAAAATGTTTGGCGATTGTTGTCACTTCTTTTATTCATCATCACTTGAAACTGTTTGAGGTACATTTATCCCCCAAATGCATCTGAATGTGCGTAATGCTAGTTTGAGTCCGGATGCATACGTTATGCATTTGTTGATGACAACTCTAAGAATGCAATTCTCCCAGGAGTTACTGTTCCTCGCACCATTTAAACCTGGAGCTGGGGTAAACTGGATGAGGTGGAGAGGGCAAAACAGAGATTCCATATATCTTGTGAGCCTGAGGATCTCACTGCATCAGCTCCATAGCAGCTAGAACCAAGGGGATTATTGGGGAGAGGCCACAGAAATCTTGTCTTGGTAGATCCAGTTGCTCCAATCCCTCCCCACCCAGTACAGTAGGTGTGGAGAGGTAGCAGCTGCTATTCCAGCTGCTGAGATGCTGTGTTCCACTCCAATGACTTGACTGTGGGAATGCACAAATTCTACCCCCTTTAGTTTCCATTCAAAATCTAAGCTCAGCATTTGTGCCTGGGATTGGGCAATTTCTCCCCAGTACAAGCAACCAAAAGAAAAATAAAGCTCCTCCAAACTGGACCACAGAGCCTAGCCTATTTATCTCTAATTACAACTATTTGCCCATGCAAGAAGGGAAGTCTGATAAAAATCCACAATTTTACTCTATATATTGGTTTAGAACAAGTTATATCAAGATAACATTTCTTAGCAGTATATCTGATCAGGGCTTCCTTTCCCTCTTGCAGCTTCGTTAACAAAGCTGCTCTTTGGCTCCTTCTAGACAAGTACTAATGTTTTCCATTTCACCACAAAGGGACAGCTCCTGCTAGTGACAGGGTCTGATTCCCAAATTGTTACTCATGTGAAGCTCCCACACCCCTTGTATGACTAAATACTGCAAGATCCCTCCTAAGTATCTTCCTTCTCGTCATTCTCAAGTATACAGCTTCCCACCAACCCAGCAGGTCATATCCCTGAAGCAATGCCACCAAAGATTAAATGAAGTCAAGAGCAGTTGCCAGGTGCTCAGCACTTTTCAAAAGTCAGGGCAGAAATATTCAGGCACCTACATATGGACTTAAAATTCTGGCCCGAGTCTGTCCTACTTGGAGCATAGACTAGTTTGGATAGTTGGCTCTAGGTAACATAGATATAGAGCCCAACTCCCTTTTTTGGGTACAGGAGAGTGCTTCTGCTGTCCCCTGCTCTCATGTGCAGTGATGTGGGAGAGAAGTAGCCATTTGGGAGAGGGGGGGCAGGACAGCACTATTGTCACCTGCCGTGACTCCGCTGGTGGTAGACAGGTTAACATTCCAGCTGGGGCGTCACTAGAACTCTGCCAATGGAGCCTGCGCAGGACAGGTACTGAATCCATATCCCTTCTGGCTGGCTTGGCACTGCTCCTTCACAGACAAGCCCATCCTACTTTTGGCATCAGCTCTGAATCCCCCAGCACTGTGAGCTGTGCAAGTGGCTTGCACCACTATACCCTTGCTCTGGGCAGACTTTCTGCAGCCAGGAGCCTGCTGTCAAGTTCTGGCAACACAAGCAGGCCACCGCTCTGGAATCAATCCAGTCCACAGCATAAGATCATTTGCTAGACACTCTTATAATAGGTGATAGGCACAGAGTAAGCAGGAAAACATCCCAGAGAGCTACTCGTGTATGTGTAGAGGTTAAAAGTACAACGGAAACATACCAGAGTCCTATTAGTTTCCTTACTGATATTCTTCAGATTTGCAACAATGAACGCTACCAAGTAAGTACTCATCTTCAAACTCACAAAGAATTCATCTTGAACTATTCCAGCTGCCACAGGGATGGTTACATTCTGCAGATTTAAAAAAGAAAAAGAAGATAATGTTACTACTGAGGCCAATTGGGAAAAAAAAAAAACTATCAGATAAAGGGCTTGGAGACCATATAAAGAAGTTACGCCTAGAGTGCACAATGGCAATTATAAGTAAGTTTGACCATTTTATTACAGTAGAACCTCAGAGTTATGAGCTGACTGGTCAACCAGAAACCTCATTTGGAACCAGAAGTATACAATCAGGCAGCAGCAGGAAAAAACAACAACAAATACAGTACAGTACTGTTTGTACTGTACTGTGTTAAACAAGCTACTAAAAAGTAAAAGGGAAAGTTTAAAAAAAGATTTGACCAGGTAGGGAAACTTGATTCATTTAAATAAGATGGTTAAAAGCAGCATTTTTCTTCTGCATAGTAAAGTTTCAAAGCTGTTTTAAGTCAATGTTCAATTCTAAACTTGCAAAACAACCACCGTAACTCTTTGTTCAGAGTTACGAACAACCTCCATTCCCGGAGGTTTGACTGTGTTTTAAGGTGCTAAGATACTAGTGGCCATGTAAAACCCCAAGATATATAAATAGGCAAGTTGCTCATAATGTAACAAAATGTACTTATGATGAAGCTAACATTTTCCAGGTCTACTTTGCATGCCAGACAGAGTTTATGAAAATCCTATAAGAAAAGTACACAGCATACTACAGATTAACTGACAACATAGAACAGTGAAGGTTTGGGGATATATCTGTTATTTTAGGCAGCTTTTGTAGCCATAAAATTTAGTTATCTGCCTTATCCTCTGCATAGTGCCTACATTAGGCTGCATAGCTGACTGAATGAAACTGTATAGTTCATGGGGTGGAAGAGAAGGAACAACATCGTTGAAATAATGTATTCCCTGTTTGTCAGGCAAGAAAACTTGGCCCTGATTCTGAAAACACATCAACTTTCAGCCTGAGTCTCATAAATTTTAAGCCTGAAGGTACCATTATGACCCTCTAGTATAATCTACATTACAGAGACCACATATTTTCACCCAATAATTCCTGTACCAAGCCCACAATTTCTGGTTGAATTAGAATGTGTCTTTCTGAGACAATCCAGTTTTACCTTAAAGACATCAAGTGATGGAGAATTTACCATATCCCCTTGGTAAGTTGTTTCAATGGCTAAATGCCCTCACATACAAGTTTACACTTTATTTCCAACCTCAATTTGTTTAGCTTCAACTTGCAGCCATTAAATCTTGTTATGCCTTCATCAGCTAGTTGAAAGAGTACTCTTCTCTGAAACCTTCTCCCCATGTAGGTACTATTTATAGACTTGATCAAGTCACCTTTTAACCTTCCTGTGGATACATTAAATGCTTGAGCTTCTTTATGATGAGAGACTTAACTTGGGTTTTCCCAGAGGCCTCCAATCATCCTTATAGCTAACAAAAAGATGTCAAAAAATTGTAAGAGTTTAGACATTAGAACTGGACACAGTATTCCAGTCTCACTAGTGCTATACACAGAGAATGCCAATCTTCTGCTCCTATTTAACATTCCACAGTTTATGCAGCCAAGATTCACTTTAGTCCTCTAGAGCTGTAGCTCTATGTAATGCTGTAGCTATGTTCAGTTGGTTATCCACCATGATCCCTAAATCCTGAGAAATCTGATGGACTTGAAGTTCAACATGTGCTCAAGTGTTGGTAGGATCTGGGCCCAAATTGTCAAATCTAAGTTAATAAAGATACTACTTTCCTTGGCAATAAGTTAGTATACAAGACTTGGAGCTCCTTATAGGGAGCCTGCATAGATGTCCTTACAAAATCAGAGTGAAAAGTCACTGAACCTGTCGTACTAAATGTAACGTACTGTACATTTAAGAAATCGTATGGGACTGTATAACTAAAAGACTTTTGTAATGCATATGCACAAGATGGCAAGTATTCTTGACAGAACGCAAAATTCAGAATCAACTAATATAAATCGCATATTCAGAAACATAACCATTATTCAGTTCAGAAATCAAAAAGTATTATATTTCAAATTACAAGGAGCCAATCTAACATGAATGATGAGTGAATAGTTCTTTTTTAGATGACAATTTCATTAGTGAATTGATTATTTTACTTACTTTATTTCTTTTGTCATGCCCTCAAAGTGGATTCTCAGTGCTAAGTGAGGGACTTTACTACCCAATTCTCATTAACACCTTTTTCATATTGAGTGAAAAGGAACCTGGAAAATGCTGTTTTTAGAGGTTAGCAAACTGCACATTCCAGGTGGCAAGGTGCAGGGAGCAATTGGTGCACTGCTGATTTTAAATAAGGGATGGCAGGGGGAGTAATAGGAGGTGTCTGCTTAATTCAATTGTCCCTAAAAAAAAAAAAAAAAAAAAGGAAACAGCCCCCTCCTCTCCCCCCCCCAAAATTGGGAATGGTGTGTGGGGGGGGGGGGAGAAAGGACTAATTACAGCTTGGCAGAAGTACCACAGTGAAAGAGACAAGCTAGGGTGGTAGTGCAAGGGCAGATGGAGGGAACCAATCTGGGAACAGAGGAGCCAGGAGGAGGAGCAGTTGCTGACTAATCTAGGGAGCTCAGGAGAAGAGAAGCAGCATATAAATTTGCCATCTAATCTAGTTGCCAAACCCAGGGCACAATGTTTGGTAAAAGTAGGGGGCTGAGCACCAAATGGCTGCCCAGCATCTCTCAGGCATAGGAATATTTTAGATATGCTGAAGAGGTTGCCTGGGCTCTAGTTGAGTGGGCCCAGATGCCTGTGGGAATGGGCATATCTTCTATTTCGTAACATTGTAATGCATCGGGGTCCACTTGGATAATCCCTAGGAAGAAATGGCCTGATTTCTTGCAGCCTTTTCCAGTACCACAGATAAAGGGGGTCAACTGAATGGCTTTGTTTGGTCTAAATGAAGGTCACTGGAAACATCTAATGTATGGAACTTGGTTTCTCCTAAGTCTGAGTGTGATTTGGGGAAGAAGATAGCAAGGCTGTTGGTTTGGATTAAATGATAAATCAGACACCATCTTGGTAGGAATTTAAGGTGGGGACTCAGCACCACCTTAACCCTGGGGAGGCAAGAGAAGTCATCCTACTGTTAGTGCTCGAATCTCACTAACTCTCCAGGCTGAGGGGATAGCCACTAGGAAGATTGTTTTGACTAGGTTGGTGAAGTAAGGACTTGGATATGCTTTCCATGAGGCCCGTAAGAACTACATTAAGGTCCCAGGATAGGAGACGATTCAGGGTGCATGAAACAGTGCTTTTAGAAATTTTGAAACAATGGGATGAGAGAACACAATATAAAAAAGTTTTTTAACAGGAAGGTGACAAGTTGAAATGACTGCTAAATGGACCCTCACAGAGCTGATGGTGAGCCTGATATCTTGAACTGTAGGCTATGATCTACACACTTGGGAATAGAAGCTTGTAATGGATTGAGATCTTGTTATGAAGCCCAGATGGAAAAATTCTTCCACTTCAGAACATAATGGTCTGACCCAGTGTGGCCAATGGCCCACTGGGCCATCTAGCCCAGTACAGTGTCTGAAGACAGGAGTGGTGCCAGATGCTTCAGAGAGAGCGAACAGAACATGGTAATTATTGAGTGGATTCATCCCGTTGTCCAGTCCCAGCTTCCAGCAGTCAGAGGTTTAGTGACACACAGATTATGGGTGTTCCTAACTATCTTATTAGAGATCAGCCCTCCTTTCTGGGGAGCTCATCAATGAATGAGATCTTGTCACAGGCTAGGTAGTCATATTTAGCAAACAGGGTTTTATAGCGGCTGTTTGCCCTTGAAGAAGATGCCAGAAAGTAGGCCTTTCTACTTAAGAGATCAAACTCTTGGGCTTTTTGTTCTTAGGAGTGTGGTCCTATCTGCTTGGATCTCTCCTTTACTGCAGATACCATGAGGGAGTTAGGAGTCATTAAATCCTTTTGGAGTGACTTGGTATCTTTCTCTGCTCATTTTGATGTTGGAAATAAAGGCTTGAACCTGCTATCGGTATTTTACAGGCTCTTGGATGCTTTCATTTATTCGCATTGCCAATCTGCCTGGGAAATCAGAATGGGTAGTATCACATAACATATGTGCTTTCTCCCTTATAGATAATTCAGTGTCCTGAGTGTCTGCTATCGTTCCCAACAATTCCTGAAAGGGCTTGAAGTCATCAGAATGTGATATTGGCGGGGATGTCACCATGTCGTCCAGAGAGAAGGAAGACAGATCTTCAGGATTATTCAGCTGAAAAGGGTTAAGAGGAGTCTCCTGGGGATCTTGGAAGGAATCATCTTCTGATTCTTCCTCCTGAGCATCTGACCCTACTCATATTCTTATTCTCTTGTGATGTCTACTTCATCAAGGGATCTAGCAACGGACCTAACTGGCATCTAGTGGATCTAGATCACTTATAGGTAGAGCAAGAGGCAGAGGAGCACCTAGAGGGTATATAAGGGTCCCAGAATAGCTGAGAAGGTATAAGGAGAAGTCTACCCAGGATGTCAGGATGCTGTGGGTGGGGTGGAAGAGAGAGTTAGGAGTTCTGGAGGTTAAATCTAAGGGACACTGTGCTTGAGGAATTCCTAGGAAGAGTGGTGGGAAGAACTTCTGCATCAGGACCTCTGCTAGATTCTGGAAAGAATGAGTGAACAGCAAAGAGAAGGAGTTTAGGCTCAGCCATTAGGTGGCAAGGTGCCTTGGCACCAAGTAGTAATCTAAAGAAAGGGAAGATTTTAAACAAAACCAACTAGACTGCCAACAGGGCAGAAATTCATCACTATGCTAATTTATCTAATATTTACAAACCAAGCTGGTGGATGGCTGCTAGGAGGTAGCAAGCAAACACTGCCAAGTTTTACCTCGCTGCCGCAGGCAATAACTGGGAACCGAAAGACAGTTGGGGATGCTCTGCTCTATACGCAGTGGTGAGCTGGAGCCATTTCCCACTGGTTCGCTAGAGCCGGTTGTTAAATTTAGAAGCCCTTTTACAACCGGTTGTTCCGCAACAACCGACTCCATGGGTGCTCCAGCCTTGGAGCACCCCAGGGGAAAATTTGGTGGGTGCAGAGCACCAACCAGTAGCTCCCCACCCCACCCCCGACTCACCTACGCTCCTCCTCCTCCCCTGAACGTGCAGCCCTGCTCCAGCCCCAGAGCACCCACGGAGTCAGCGCCTAAGGCGCCACTTTTGATGTGATCAGTAGGGGGGGAGTAGCTGCTCCCCCCCTAGCTATGTTCCCCCACCCCTAAGAGCCAGAGGGACCTGCTGGATGCTTCCTGGGAGCTGCCCCAGGTAAGCACTGCTGGGACTCCCCATCTCACCCCCCCCCGGCAGGTGCCTCTGACTCTTAGGGGTGAGGTGGGCACCCACTACGGTGGCCCACAAGACCCTCCTGCCCGGTTCTGGGGGCAGTCAAGGGACAGGGGAGGGGGTTGGATGGGGCAGGAGTCCCGGGGTGGCGGGGGTGGGCAACGACCCCCTCGTGGGGTGAGGAGGGAACCCATTGTTAAGATTTTGGCAGCTCATCACTGTCTATATGCGATTGTGTTGGGGAGCACAAGGACAAGGACATGTAAGGTGCAGGCACTGTCCCAATGGAGGCTGCAGAACAGAAGATTTCCATCTTGTGCTCATGCACACCATAAATGGGATCCACATGGACCAAACCTCGAAGAAGAATCTTAAGTTCGACAGAGAGTGGTGCAACAACCGAAGTGCATGTAGATATACAGTCCCATGCCAGTTCAGTCCAACTGCTGGCTGTAGCCATTCAACATTCCTATAGTACATCCTGTACCATGTAGTACACTAAACAGTTATTTGATCTGGGATACACTCTAAATCTAAATGTGTAAGGTCTTTGGAGCAAGTCAGCCTTTTCATTACACGTTTGTATGGTGTCTTGCACAGACCCCTGTCTGGGTCATCTATGCTCTCTTGTGACACAAATTAACAAAGTGATTCAGAGTACTTTTAATACAGAGCACCTAAAAGACACACATCCATCCTCTAATATTCGTGCATTAGAAGAGCATAACTGTACCTTTGGCATATTTGACAGAGTGGAGTGCTGTTCATCTCTCTTGATCTTAATTAGAAAAGTGGCTTTAAATGCTGGTTCATCGAAGCATGGAAAAGCAGACCTTGCAGCCAGAGGCTCAAACTGAGTTGCTGCAAGCCATCTAATGGAAAGAAAAGACACGTTAAAAAATATAAGAGTTGGTATTACCATTCTTTAATAAATTAAGAATGGTTACTTTGAGGATTGGAATGGAATGAAGTTTTATTGGGAGAAGCTGGGAACAGAGAGGTAGCCATGATTTGTCAGGATAGAATAAGCACACTTTTAAGAAAGGCCTGTCATCAGTTTAAGTCTCAGAAGATTTTTCAATGTAATTTTTATTCAATGTTCTTTCTAGCATAATGCAGTCAGAAGATACAGTTTGGCTAATGCATCAAACTATAAACAGATTAGATTGAAATACAGGGCACATTATCAGTAAACAATTGTCCCAACAACCAAGTACTGAAAAGCTCATATATCCCTAAGAGTACATAGCCCAAAAGAAGAGTAAGAAACATGTACCGGCACTTCTATTTTGAAGTGTCTAACAATGGGAATAAACTTCATGCCCCACTGGCAGACAGGGTGACTGACTGCTTCTGTCCATCCATAACTTTCAACCAGGCAGGAAAAGCCACTTCCAGGTCCTATCTAATTGTTCCCCTCCCTGTCACTGACTTGTGGACAACTGCTGGCCCAGTCAATGTCTTTGGGTACGTCTACACTAGAAATGCTACAGTTACACAAACTACTTTAGTGCAGACACTAAGTTGACGGAAGGTTTTCTTCCATTGCAATAGTAAATCCAGCTTTCTAAGAGGTGACAGCACAGAGGTTCTCAACAAATTTTGACTCAGTGCAGCCACCAACTGTTGCTGGTGGCTGCCTTGACATTTTTTTCCTAAAATACTTAATTAACTTTAAGAAAAATAAATATTAGGGCTGTCAATCGATTAAAAAAATTAATCGTGATTAATCATGCTGTTAAACAATAGAATACCATTTATTTAAATATTTTGGATGTCTTCTATATTTTCAAATATATTCATTTCAATTACAACACAGAATACAAAAATGTATAGTGCTCACTTTATATTTAATTTTTATTACAAATATTTTCACTGTAAAAAATAATATTTTTCAATTGTGCACTGCAGTACTTGTAATGGGAATCTCTTTATCATGAAAGTTGAACTTACAAATGTAGAATTATGTACAAAAAACCTGCATTCAAAAATAAAACAATGTAAAACTTTAGAGCCTACAAATCCACTCAGTCCTACTTCTTGTTCAGGCAATCGCTCAGATAAACAAGTTTGTTTACATTTGCAGAAGATAATGCTGCCCATTTCTTGTTTACTATGGCACCTGAAATTGAGAACAGGCATTCGCATGGCACTGTTATAGCTGGCGTCGCAAGATATTTATGTGCCAGATGTGCTAAAGATTCATATGTCCCTTCATGCTTCAACCACCATTCCAGAGGACAAGTCCATGCTGATGAAGTGTTCTGCTCGATAACAATCCAAACCAGTGCAGACTGACGCATGTTCATTTTCATATCTGAATCAGATATCACCAGCAGAAGGTTGATTTTCTTTTTTGGTGTTTCAGGTTCTGTAGTTGCCACATCGGAGCATTGCTCTTTTAAGACATCTGAAAGCATGCTCTCTACACTCGTCCCTCTCAGATTTTGGAAGGCACTTCAGACTCAAACCTTGAGTGGAATGCCATATCTATCCTTAGAAATCTCATATTGGTACCTTCTTTGCGTTTTGTCAAATCTGCAGTGAAAGCATTATTAAAATGAACAACATGTGCTGGGTCATCCTCCAAGATTACTATAACATGAAATATATGGCAGAATGAGGGTAAAACAGAGCAGGAGGCATACAATTCTCAGCCCCACAAGGAGATCAGTCACAAATTTAATTAATGCATTTTTTTTTTTAAAAAACTAGTATCATCAGCATGTCCTCTGGAATGGTGGCCGAAGCATGAAGGAGCATACCATTGTTTAGCATACCTGGCACATAAATACTTTGCAATGCCTGCTACAAAAGTGCCACACGAAAGCCTATTCTCACTTTCAGGTGACATTGTAAATAAGAAGCAGGCAGTATTATCTCCTGTAAATGTAAACAAACTTGTTTGTCTTAGCAGTTGGCTGAACAAGAAGTAGGACTGAGTGGACCTGTAGGCTCTAAAGTTTTACACTCTTGTTTTTGAGTGCAGTTATGTAACAAAAGAAAACAAAAATCTAAATTTGTAAATTGCACTTTCACGATAAAGAGATTGCACTTCAGTACTTGTATGAGGTGAATTGAAAAATACGGTTTCTTTTGTTTAATTTTTACAGTGAAAATATTTGTAATAAAAAATATAAAGTGAGCACTGTACACTTCATATTCTGTGTTGTAATTGGAGTCAATATATTTGAAAACGTAGAACATCCAAAAATATTTAATAAATGTCAATTGGAATTCTTTTGTTTAATAGTGTGATTAAAACTGCGATTAACTCAAAAAAATTAACTGCGATTAATCACGTGAGTTAACTACAATTGATCGACAGCCCTAATAAATATGCACGTATACATGTCCAAATCATTGTAATTTATTTATGTAGGGATTGTTTGTGGACTAGATAATAAAAATAATGCTAAGAAAAGTGATACTTGTATCTGTGTTAATATCACTTTTCACAAGTAGTCCTGGCAAATTAAGACTTGGATGGAGGGATGGGGAGCAGCAGGGGCCATGGAGGATGGATGTAGGGCTTGGGGAGACAGCGGAGGCCAGGGGGGATGGATGGGAGACCCTGCCACTGTGTGTCGGGGCTGAGGGTCAACACCCTGGGCCAGCACCTACTGGAGCCCAGTGGCTCAGCACCAGTTGCTGCGTTACAGGACTGGGGATTTGTGCTCAGGGCCAGGGATCAGTGCCTGCTGCCACATGGCCAGAGGTCAGTGACTGGGGCCAGCACCTGCTGCCACATGGCTGGGGCTAGGGGCAGAAGCCTGCTGCCAGACAGCTAGGGCTGAAGGTCAGCATCCAGGGCCTGCACCCGCCAGAGCCCAGGGTCAGCTCCCATTGCCACACAACCAGGGCTGGAGATCTGCACCCAGGACTGGTGCCCAGGGCCAGCACCCACCAGAGCCAAGGGTCAGCAACCAGGGCAGGCACCCGCCACCTGGGTTGAGGGTCGGCACCATACAGCCCGGGATCAGCGCCAGGAACCACAGCCAGTCACCGCACTGTTGGGGTTATAGCCTGAAGCCCCATGACCGAAGGTCAGGGCCATGTGACCAAAGCTGGGGTCAGTGCCTGAAACCCTGCAACCAGAGCTGGATATTGGTGGCTGGAGCCCTGGGTTGAAGCCAGGCTCCCTAAGTCCCAACCACTCCAGGGCTGAAGCCAAAACCCCACCAACCCTCACAGGTAGAGAACCCACCTTGCTCCTTCAGTATCATGCCCCACCTGTCTTCAGAAGTGGTGCAGGGCAGCACATCCAGGAGCAACAGGAAGTGAGGGACTGATGCGTTGCCCCCCCATCACCACCCAGGAGGCTCTTGTGACCACAGAGAAACCCCCTGGTGGCTATATTTGAGAAACGCTGAGCTAGGTTGACAAAAGTATTCTTCCATTGACCAAGCAGCATCTACACCAGATCTTAGGTCAGCTTAATGACATTGCACAAGGTGTGAAATTTTTCACAGCTCTGAGAGATGTAGTTAAGCTGACTTAAAGAGCTCATCTACACTACAAAGTTAACACATAAACAGAGGCAGGGAGGGAATCCTGTTCAATTCCATTTGACTAGAATCTTTGTTTCGCCAGGCCCAATAAATGTTGGTGGAGACTAGCAAATAGGAGACTGCAACACATCTTCCAAACATGGCACCAAAATACTTTTTTCTTTCTATCTTCCTTTCGATCTTTCAGAGTGGTCGAGAAAGCATGTCCCCAACACGGACATCACACCTTCTACTGATAGCAATTTACACACTTTCCTAAATCCCACAGCTATGCTGTGACAACATGAAGGTACAGTAGTAGCTATCATCAGGCTGTTCACCCAGAAAGTGGAAGAGCTGCAGAGTCCTTTCTAAAAAAAGGGTCACATTCTGATTCAATCTTGTGGCTCTTTCCAAGTCTACCCACTGGCTCCTTCCTGTTCCTCCAGGCACACATCTGTTTCCTCTTACAGCTATATTGCCCCCCATAACTTCTTTGGCACTAGCAACCGTCTGTGCAGGAGTGGTGACCTTTTCCAAAGCTGCCTCTCTGAACTTTCTTCTGACCCAGACAGACAAGCCTTGGAAAGTCACTACATTTTATTGTCCATTAACTTAAATCTCTTACTGACACACCTACTTGTATCAGTTTCTTAAAGCGTGTAGGTTGATTGCCATTAAGACACTGCACAATCTTGTGAGAAGTGCTTTCAGAGTTTGGCTCTTCTTGTTTAGTTCAACAGAAAAACTGTAGGATTAAGAACTGCTGAGATTTTAAATATAAGACTTGTGTTATCTGGCCTTCTTCTGAAAGCCCCTGCTCCTGGAGTCATACGTTTATGTGAGAATTTCAGCTTTTTTTTTTTTTTAAAGTAGGTTTCTCGCTCTCATGGCTGTGGAATAAAGCTTGAAAGACATGAAACCCAGATCTCAAAAACAAAAGAAAAAAAATAACCCAGAATATATGGGGTTCAAAAATAAAATAAGATTTTTCAGGGTCTGACTCATGTTTTTGAATGCATGGTAATGTTTCAACAGACAACTTACCCTATCCCCTCATCCTCAACAGGAAGAAAATGCCAACAGGGGGTGAGGGAAGAAAATTCTATCTCCTTCCCTCTCAAGAGATCAGGAAATGGTTTGTTTTCTTTGATGTCAGCCTGATAAACACAGCATCTGAATGTAGAGAGCTAATTTATCATTCACACACTAACACAGGTCAGTTTCACCCCTCAAAAGCCTGCATTTTTAAAAACGATAATGATGAAGTAAATTAAATGTAGAGAATGAAGGGAGGCTTTTTGGAAAGGGAACCTAATAGAAAATGAAAGCAAAATGGAACCCATTGCCCACAATTATTGGCATAAATGAATTTTGCCTTCTAAGCTCTGACTGCAGTTATTTTATTTCATTTCATATATTGCCTTGTAATGCCTGTGTTCTCAGCTTCTTCTTGTGGCAGTGTATTTTATTTAATCTTTCAGGTATGACATTTTGATGTGATGGACAACTCAGATTATAGTGATCTTTGGCTCACTAGCATGAGAATGCTATTGATAACAAATCTTTGTTATTTTAATTCAAAGCCAAAAGAATAAGGAAGAAAGATCAACAGCTGGCTACAACACTGGGAAAAATATCTGTCACCAGGTAACCTCCAGAGAGGGAGTTTCACCATATGCGTATGAATATCCTCTCCTTGATGTTTATGGATAAGATTTCTTTCCGAGTAGGAAAATATGGAACTTGTTTTGACCGTTGAAAAAATTGGCCAGCCAGACACAGCCAAACTGGAACAAACCAATGGTATCTAGACCAGACCTCTGTCTTCAAAAGCCAGGTGCTTTAGAAAGAAAAAAGTCATAAACCCACTGTGATGTGCCCAGTTCCACAACAGAACATATCATTTGGGGACTGGAGGACTCTGTGTTACTTGAGGACTCTTCCTATTAGATGGTGATCAATGCATGTACTGTTGCAGTCTATAAATTGCAAGTGTACCCCAGTTTTTATAGCAGCAGAAGTTCTTCTAAAATGACAAGATGTATACAACCCTTTTCTTGTCTATATTAAGCTATTTGCCTTAATGATATCCTGATGGTGATAAGTTCTACAGGTTAATTTTAAGTGACATCAAAAAGCATTTACTTTGACATTTTTTAATGTGTTGCCTTTTAAAATTTATCATTGTTAGTGTGTTATGGGAAGAGGCAGGGAGATCAACTGCATCATCTAGTTAAGTAAACAAGATTTTTTTTTAAATAGCGAAAGCTCAGCAAAACATCTTTCCACTATGCAGCTCTCTTGCTTTTCTACTAAAAATAAATAATCTTTACACTAGCTGGTTTTCTTTTTAAAATGGATTAGACTTAATTTTAAGTCTGGATTTATTTATCATTAATTAAGAGGTGCAGGCAGCAAAAGATTATTGGTCAGCTTGTGCCACACTGCAATATTAATTTACTCCTCAAGTAGCCCCACTGAAATCAATGAGACTGCTCAAGGAGTCGGGTACTATTTTATGTGAGTAAGGCTATAACAACCTGGCTACCTATGGAGAAAAATATCAAACCTTTATTACTTACCTACTTCTAAGGAGACCAGAAGGAAGGTGCTTAGTACAACCTTTGTGATTGTCTACTGACTTACTAAGAAGTAGACCAAGTGGTCTTTTGGACAAATTCCCCATCAACAACATTCATGATTAAGAGTATCAATCACTCTGCAGTAGTGACTCATTAACACCACCACCACAAAAAACATATTTGAGAGAAAGCCAGGAAAGGACCTAAATTAATACAACCTAACAGGATATCTATCTACAAGCTGGGTAACAGAACTGAACTGAAGGACTGTCTGCACTATAATGAACCAACCTATGCAAGACATTCTTGAAGCAGTGTTGATTCTAATCATGGAAAACTTCTGCTTTACTCTCCCCCGCTGCACCTGATCTTTGTGTAAATTGCTATCAACATGAAGAATTAATATTAAAAACAGAGGGAAAGTTGTATTTCCTAAGGAACTTTTTTTACATAAAGCAAAAACCCTGCTCATTTTCAGACAGATTTTCTGTTAGCGACTGACTCCTGAAGAACTCCTTTGCTATATACTTCAGGGCCCAGGTGCTGAGTGAGAAAAACCACACATCCAAGTCATTGCTCCCCTTCCCCCATCATCATTTTTAATTAATGAATCAAGTGCAAATGAGTTGTCAAGGTTCCTTCCCCACTCTGAACTCTAGGGTACAGATGTGGGGACCTGCATGAAAACCCCCTAAGCTTATTTTTACCAGCTTAGGTTAAAACTTCCCCAAGGTACAAACTATTTTACCTTTTGCCCTTGGACTTTATTGCTGCCACCACCAAGCATCTAACAAATATATAACAGGGAAAGAGCCCGCTTGGAAACATCTTTCCCCCAAAATCCTCCCCAAACCCTATCCTTTCCTGGGGAAGGCTTGATAAAAATCCTCACCAATTTGCATAGGTGAACACAGACCCAAACCCTTGGATCTTAAGAACAACGAAAAACAATCAGGTTCTTAAAAGAAGAATTTTAATTGAAGAAAAAGTAAAAGAATCACCTCTGTAAAATCAGAATGGTAAATACCTTACAGGGTAATCAGATTCAAAACAGAGAATCCCTCTAGGCAAAACCTTAAGTTACAAAAAGACACAAAACCAGGAATATACATTCCATTCAGCACAACTATTTTACCAGCCATTTAAACAAAACAGAATCCAACACATATCTAACTAGATTACTTACTAAGTCCTAAGACTCCATTCCTTTTCTGTTCCTGGCAAAAAACAGACAGAGCCCTTTGTCCACCCCACCCGCCAGCTTTGAAAGTATCTTGTCTCCTCATTGGTCATTTTGGTCAGGTGCCAGAAAGGTTGTCTTAGCTTCTTAACCCTTTACAGGTGAAAGGGTTTTTCCTCTGGCCAGGAGGGATTTAAAGGTGTTTACCCTTCCCTTTATATTTATGACATGAGTACATACAAAACAACCTAGAAATACAGGGATGAGAAGAGTTATTCATAAGCCTACCTTTTCTCAGCATGTTCATCCTTGTAGGAGACTTTGTAAAACCCATAATAGGTATCTGATAAATTAGATGAATAGTCTATACTGAGGGTGTAGTTCTGTCCAACAAGTAGAGCATCAGGGGCCACAACTGCAATCTGATCACGTATTGGATATTCCAGGACTACAACTGGTTTTGCCTGATTCCAACCTGCTGAACTCAGTGTTGCCTTGGTGATATTAAGTCCTGAGCTATGAAGTATGATATTCCAAGTGACCTGAATTACATTAACAGTTATCTGAACAGAACCTGCAAACTTTGTAGTTGTTAGGTTTGGCTGTAAGACAAGATCATAGTGTAGTGGTATAACATTACTGGGAAGCCTAGTTTTTGCCCACGGAAATCTCTTTCCATTAGTTGCTAGAGGATATATCAGTTCCATTGTATGGTTCTTTTTATGGCAGCCTTCTTTGGTAAAGGTACATTTGGGAAGAAGGTAGATCACCATTATTACTGAAACTGCAATCACAAGAACAACTGCACAAACCACCATGGTCCTTAAAGAGGGCACTGAGCATGATCCATCTGAGCTCTGTCTATAGCCAGCTGCATTATTACGGAGACCTGTGCTTCTGTTCATGAAAGACATGCCCAGCAATTTCGCTGATGATTCATAATCCTCTTCATCCTCATCCATTTCATTTTCTCCAAGGCCACGCACCAGTAGTCGTGAACTTCTTGGCTCATACTCCACTTCATCAGGCTCTAATGGATGCAAGCAAGGCTCCTTTGCCAAGTCAACCACATCAGGTTCTTCCTCAAACATGCTGTTTTCAATCATATTCCTGGGCAACTGAATTCGATCTGGGTGGGGAGAAGAGGAGGAGAGAAAAAAAGAGCATATGTTTAACTAAAAAGGTGTTGCTATTACAACTCAAAAGATAACTTACTGAGTGGGAGTAGTGGAGCATGGAAAGCACTTATGCAGCATCTCTTACTGAGAGAGCTCCAATTCTGGAGAATATTTGCAAATATTTCAGCATATAATGATGATTTTTGGTTTGAACAACAACATTCCTAGAAACATTCATGGAACCCTTTGGCCTTATCTAGTCTGGGAAACTGCATAACTAAAATTTTAACATACTGTTACCAATATGATTTTGCCCTTTCTTGTGGGGAGGGACATGTGTAAGAACATGAATGATCCTCTAGTTAACCACAGCCAACCATATTTTTAAAACACACTAACTGCCCTGTCCACATTCAGTGTTAAGTTGTGTCACAGAAAGGATTTAGCAAAGTGCCGATTGCTAAACCAGTGGAAGACAAATATCAAGCCATTATTTTGTTTTAGAAGAGGATCTGGTCCTTTTATATAAAAGGATAATAATATACTACATTTTCAACTGCGCTCTTCATTTAAGATTTAGTCCCTATGTCCTAGGTAAAAGCCTGTGCATAAAAAGAAGTTAAAGTGCTTACTAAAGTAAAACCATCTCCATAAATCTGGACCCTAATAATTAATGAATTGTTATATGTATTGTTCAAATTCAAGAGTCACTTTTTACAAGAGTGACAGATAACAGACATGAAACATATGTAAAGAGCTGCTCTGTGTGGCTCAAAAGCTTGTCTCTCACTAAACAGAATTTTGTCCAATAAAAGATATGTCATCTACCTTGTCTCTCTAACATCCTGGGATCGACATGGCTACAACGCTAACTTCTGTATAAGTAATTTATACTTTGGTCAACCAACTACAAAGGACACGGGGAATAAGGAATCCTTTCCCCATCCAAGTTGCATGGACAGAGCTGATGCAAGGCCTAGGGATCAGAAAGCAGGTGGCTTTGGAGAGAACAAAGGACTTGTTATCACCATAGGCCTGATGCAAAGCCCACTGTTGTCAGTGGAAAGACACTAACTTTAAATGGACTTTGGAAGTGTTGGAGGAGACAGACTGAGAAAAGCCAGTAGAACGGGGAAAGGTGTGGAGAAAGAGACAGCAGTGGACTGGTACAACTCTGAATCTCCTTTGTGCCGGAAACCCCCAATACCAGCTTTGTATTTTGAACTGACTTCCGTAATTTACGTTTAACTCCTCTTACTGCTGCTTTCAGAAGTTTGTCTCCAAGAAACACATTTAGACACTGTTTTGATCCATTTCGTCTCTTGATTCAAATTTTATTTAAATTCAAATACTGTAATGTTTAACTCAGGAAATGTGTGGACTCCCATCTGGGGTGATGACAGAGTCAGGTAAACGAAAGAAAAAGAAAACATGTGCAATATAATAGCCCTCCAGTTACCATAGGCCCCAATTCTATAAAGATCCTAAGCATAAGCTTACATTTAAGCACATGTTTAAGCACATTTAAGCATTACGCTGACTGAATAGGAAGAGACTCAAGCGTATGGCTGAAGCTCAACTAGGGCTTTAGCTGATCATTTAACGAGGACACAGCTTGGAGGGAAGGAAGTTTCTTAGCCATATAGGTACCATAGAAAGCAGACATGTTTAGCTGGTTGAAAGGTTTTCTATCTTCCCCTTCCTCCCCTCAAGAAAACAATTTATTTTTAAATGAAAACAGAGGGGAAGAAAGTGTTAGTTAAAATTTCACAAGGAAAAAATAAAGTTTCCTTGAGCAGTTCTACAAAAGTGAGAGTTTCCGTGGCATAGAACGTGACCTTTCAGCTAGAGCTAGGTGAACAATAGATTTTTATTTTATGTATTTTATTTTTCATACTGTCTAACATTGCAAGAGAACACTGGAATAGAACTCAGTGGTTTCTGGTTACCAACCCTCTCTTGGTCAGTCCACTCGATCTCACCCTCTCCCCTCTAGGTTATATTTCAATTCAACAGCCTCTAAAATAAAACTCCCCACTCCTCAAATATAATCCCATGCACTTCACCTCAAAGACAGATTAATAAACCCAATCTGAAGTTTCTTGGATAAAACAGCTTTAAAACATCAAGGGCCAACACCCACAACCCACCGAACCAGTGTTTTCCAAACAGAGGGAGGGTAGACTAGTGAGGGGGACTAAGCATTGTCAGACTAGACCAGGAGGTTGGGGACAGTTGAGAGGAGTAGTGGGAGCAGAAAGGCTACATGAACCTGGATCGGTCCTGCTCTCCCAGTGTCTCAAATGTGAACATGCTGTCATGTCTGCAGACAAAGTAATAAGCAACTTCTTCAAAGTCATCCATTGTTCCTCTTGCTTTAAGGCAGCCCCAAACACAGCGCTCATGTACATGACTCAGCCATTAAAGCACACATCCACGCCCCACCAACACCTGCCCTGAGCAACATGTAATAATGTTAGAGGTGGGGGTGGAGAAGGGGTGAGGAATGGAAAAGAGTACTCAGAAGAGAAAGAATCAATAAGAAGAAAACTAGTGGACAGAAGGAGGATAAATATAGAGAGAAAAATGGAAAGAAAAAAGAATAGATGGCAGAAGCCAAGTTAGTACACGGCAAGAGACATGGCAGGAAGTCCATCCACAACTCTTCTGCAAAGGGGATTTCAAAAGGTTGGGAACCACTACACTGTATTTTCAAAAAGCAGTTCTCCCTCTTTGCTCCCAAGCCAACTACCTCATAATTGTCAAATTCACCTCAAAATGATATACACAAAAAATTATTTGGGCCACAGAGCATACCTGAGACTACAAAGAACTTTTCCCTAAGAAATGAAGATAGAAGGCCAAACTAATCACGCTTGAACTAGAGAGAGAAATGCCAGCCTCTCTTATAAAAAAGAAAAAAAACAAACAAAAACCCCACACCCTACACACCCACTTAGAATTATTTGCAAAAATTGGAGGCAATCCAGCTAGTAGGAGAAAAATGGCTTGTTTTTATTGTTAAAAACCACACAGCCATTTTTCAAACTCAGTGTTAACGAGTCACAACTTCAGATAAAGAGCACAACTCACACTATTTCCACTGGAACGCACATAGACAAGTAACAGAGCACTTGAAGGTCATCGAAGTTACCAATCCTGAGATACATACTGATGCAGGCAGTGGAATCATACAGCTTTACAGGAACAACTCTGAGGCGAACCAGCTTTAAATACAAATTTATGTCTAGATAAGCTGCAGATTTTGTTTTTCTCCATAATAGCAAAAATAAAAGGGGCAAAGAATATACAATATTCTAAGCAAGCTGTATGTAGGGACTCTTTCTAGGCCTGAACAACAAGACTGTAATCTTTGTATTTTCACACTTCACTGTCCTCTTTCACACCAAACACCAGTAGCAGGGAGAAGCATAGCCAAATCTTGACAAAAAAGATTACTTTAAATTCACATAAGGCTAGATTCCAGTCAAGACTCACAAACGCAGAAAAGTAGAATACAAGTGGGAGAAGTTTCATCTGCCAAGATAAAAGTAGTATAGAGCCACTCAGCAATCACAGCAGTTCCCAAAGTTACAAGTGCTTTAAACCCCAAGACTTAATTCTACATTACCATGCCAAGAAACCGAGACTGAGGCACAGAACCCAGCACAAGGACACATGGACAAGAGTCTCTGAATAAATGGCCCCTGCGTTGCTCTAGGACTACTTTGCACATCACTACCAGTGCTAAGCAGCCCTGAGAATCACCATAGCTAATACAGGGTGTATTCTGATGGTGCAGCAACGGCATACTGACTCCTCTGCAACCCCACTCCAGTACACAGGGTGTCCTTCTGACCCAGGAATCCCTAGTTACTTGCCAGCCCCTCTGGGGCCATTGGCAGACCAAACAGCATATGGAAAAGTCAGCCTTTAGGCTCCTCTAGCTCAGTGCTGTGATGTGGGGGACCGGCAATTCCTCCCCCTCCCCCCCCCCAACCATGTGCCGATGGCTCCCGGAACAGCACCCGTCCGCGGACCACCACTTTGAGTAGCACTGCTCTAGCTTACACCAGAGGTCACTCAGTGCACAGATGGCCCAGGACTGGGAGAGCACAAAGATAAGAGGAGAGTTGGTTTTCTGAATTACCACTGTTGTGAATATTTAAAATTGCAGAATAAGTCTGCCGTATTAGACAATTTGTAAACCGCTGACCTACAAACAAGTCAATTTAGGCAACCCATGACAACACAGCTGTCTGAAACCTTGTTACAACATAGCTCTAATTTACAATATTCATGGGGTACCAGCTGGTTTCTGCTGTAGATCACCAAATCACGCTAGAGAATAGAATGACCGCCTCCTCACGTGCCTATCTATAATGTGTAGGAAAAAAACCTGATCACAGGGGACCTCAATTTGAATGGCATATCCTTAACAGTGAGGATAATTAACCAGTGGAACATCTAACCAGTGTAGTGATGGATTCATCATCGCTGGCAATTTTTAAAATCAAGGTTGGATATTTTTTTAAAAAGGTACGCTCTAGTTCAAAACAGGAATTAAATTTAAAGAAGTTCTATGGCCTGTATTATACAGGTCAAACTAAATGACCTCAGTGGTCCCTTCTGGCTTTCTAATCTATAATCAAATGGCTTGACCCAGTACCCTGCTGGGTGTCAGACTACTGAGCCAACAGTGTTCTTTTTGCCTGGCCTCCCTGTAGGACTTAAGAGGCAGAGGGTGTACAATTAATGAGGATTTAAAAAAAAGATGCATGGCACCTGTTCACTAGCCAGTATAACATATTGGAACAGCATGCACCATAGCAGATTTTCAAAGATAGGAACTATGCTGGTGTAAATTGTTACCTCGGACTAGAATCACATTTTCTGTTTTCAGAGTAGCAGCCGTGTTAGTCTGTATTCGCAAAAAGAAAAGGACGACTTGTGGCACCTTAGAGAATAACCAATTTATTCAAGCATAAGCTTTCATGATCTACAGCTCACT